CACTCCCAGACTACACCATTTTTCAGGCAGCAGGAAACAGCAGGATTCCTCAAAGACTGCATCGCTGCATCGTTAACTTAACTGAGGGCAGTGAATGCTTTAAATACGATAAACGATAATACAGCTGGCACACTGCACACCTTATCAGCTCAACAAATTATTTAGGGGTTTTATTAAGTGCACCGATGTAACTCTTTATCAAGTTTTCACAGCTGGCTCTTAAAATAAGCACCAACCTACTGTACAGTACAGTAGTACAAACAAACTTTTGTGAAATCTTACAATGTGAGAAAATATATAAATCAAAAGTTTCCAAAAACTGTTTAACAACATCCTCATAAGTTTGTTACCAAAGACGAGCACAAAAGAGACACCAGCAGTCCAGAATAAACTTGATCAGTAAAAACTGTGATGTACTTTTGGATAAAAATCTGACAGTCAGTTAGAGTTTGTTTTTCACAGCAACATGAAACAGCTTTCAGTTAGCATTCAGCTGCAGGGTAGATAAAGGACGAGGCGTGAGTTGAAGGCAATTTCAAACCTCCAGCAGCCCCCTGACAGAGAGCAGCAAAGATTGGCTGCAGGCAATCCCCTCTCACCACTGAGAGGTCGTCATCTGCCTGTGCTCTACCTGGTGCGTTGTGGCTGCCTAGCCTGCAACTGCGTCATCACACATTCCTCCTCTGCATGGCAGGGGTTACATTGAAGCTTCAGATTTCTTTTGTTTTTTTTTTTTAAACAAAAGGACGATAGCCCTGCTCACACGGACGGTACATTTTGCTGCAGACCAAGGTTTTAATTTCACACACGAGAGAGGAATTATGAAACTACTGATCATTGTTCCCCACGTAGAAGTATTTCAGCAGTTGACATGCTTTTTTCCATATCAACACAGACAAACAGAGGTCAACATTCTCAGTGTTTTGTTGACTTACTAACTCCTTGTAACACCATGTGTGCGAGTGTGTCTGAAAATACAGTATATATGTAATACATTCATAGAGACAAAATCTCTCACAGATCAATATAATTGTCTTCTTACTATCAGGGTTTCTGGGATAAGTTGACCATTATATGCACGTCAAAACAGGCTGGACAAACACACACTTTCTCTTATATACCAGCACAAAGTGTTATGTAATTGCAAGAAAATGTAAAAGTAACTGGCATTTCATTTAATTTTGTATGGAGCCTGTTTCAAATGTGTGATGTTGCTATCCTGCACACACACTGGTCTTGGATTTTTAAATCAGGTTTATTAGATAATGACTGCAATGTGGTACGTAAAGTACACTAAACATGAAATAATCTAAAGACCGCTAAATATCCAGTCAAATAATTAAGATGTTTTGGTTGATTTAATCAGATCTTGAGCTGCAGTGACAAGTTGACAAATGAGTATGTAGTTGCCCGAAACACATTAAAATTAGCACTCTTAACCAAAACCCCAGCACATTCCAAGAAAATTGAAGGTGGAAGGATCCAGCTCTGTTTGCCCTGCGTCAAGGTCACAAAGGAGTCCTGCTAAACACTCCCACCCCACATCATCCACTGCAGTAATGTTTCCCTGAGCAAGATGGGAAGGGCTCATGTGGGGTGGGACCAGACACCTGTCATCTTCGCGACTGTCACTGCCTCTAAAAATACTGCATTCCATAATCTGAATGGCCAATGACGGTTAAAAATAAAAGCTACCAGAAAAAACTATGCATCCCTTCATTGGCTTACAGAAACAAAGCATTGCGATAACATTAGCATTTGAAGGACAACAGCATTGCCTCCATTCCTAGAAACACACACATGGTGCCATGCAGGGAATCAAAGTTTTACATCCAGAGGATGTCAGCTGGTGAAACCACTGACTTGACCACAGCAGCATGAATCACCCCACTGCTCACTTTATACTGCATAAAGCTGTTGTATTAGATTGTACAGCAAAAATACAGTGGCACCATATGACTTTGTGGTAGCAGATGCACAGAGACACCACACGATAATCTAGGCCTTGAAAGCATTCGCCCTCATCCTATTGTGACACTGGGTTAATAAGTGCATCTCAAAATACTTTATTCTTGTGGGGCGTGTCACCCCTGCAGTGACACTTAGAGATGCGGGGGAGGTTTCAATTGGAGCTTGTGCTAAATATGATCTGTGACCACATCACTGTGACCATTGCAAGTGAATAAATAGCTTTTTCCTTGCAAGGCACATTTCAACAAAGCAGTCAAATTGTGATAAAAGCGCACAGGCAATAATGTTAATCTTCTGACATGTTTTTAGTCATCTTTGTTGTGACGGATTAATCGTGAATGTTTTTGTGATAACCTCTTTTTTTTTACCTCTCATTCAAGACACTTCTACAAAGAAGGAACATCTTTCTAAATTAAATGCGGGACGGGGGAGGCAGGGTCACATCTCTAGATGCAGTGGTTTTCTATATACTCACAATATATGGAAAACCATAAGAGTTCAGAAGGCCTGTTATTTCATACTGAATGTCATTTACATGCTGAACAAAGGTAGACCCCAAACTGTTCAGAGTGGTACAAAGAATCCTGGTTTGTCAAAAACCCAGGTAGGCTGTGGTGGGGCTAAATAAGACCGTACAAAAACCAAAACATTACAGAAAGTAATGACAGAAGATAAACAGACAATTTAATCTTACCAGCAATTTCTACAATGTCTCCAGGAACGATGTCTCTGGCTTTGATCCTCTGAACAGTTTTCCTGTCCTGCCGGTACACTTTCCCCATCTCCGGCTCATACTCTTTAAGTGCCTCAATGGCATCCTCAGCATTGCGTTCCTGGTGAAGTGAAAACAATATGTAGTGTCACTGCACATGAGATTAAATGATAACTGTTCTCAGAGCTGTTCCACTCAAACAAGACGAGAGCTCACAATTATTGATATAGTTGCGTACATTCGTCTGTGGGAGCAATTCATTCATTCTCTCACATTAAATCATCTGCCCATCAGTTAATTAAATGTGTCCAGTCCGGTGTGCTGCTGCTTGGTTGGACCAAAGACCTGCAGCTACAGCGGCCCCTGGTTTAGGGTAATTGACAATGTCTTTTCTTTAATGGATTCATCTGCATTTACAACTTAAAATAGATAGGCACCAATCTTTTTACCCAGGACGAGTGCATTTCAGCTTTGCACCCACACGTTTTGCCTTTGCTGTTTACTTTGCTCCTTATGTAATCTGAATGGGGGAAACAATTTCATCAGCGTGGTGTTGCTCCAGCATTCTGAATGCTGTGATAAACCAAACACTGCAGTGGATCTGACTGTGGATGGATGTCAATGCCATAGTAATGGTCAAATCTCTAAACTGCTGTTGTGCCTGGTTGTCATAACAATGCCGTAACTGAGACAAATATCATAAAATAAAATAATTAATTAATTAAAACATTTAAACATTCAAGAATAAAAATGTGTGTTATTTTAATGTAAAACATTTCCAGTATTTTCTCATTTTTGAGAGGGCAGTAAGATTAAAGTACAAAGGGTTTTTTTTTTCCCTCACCTGCCACACACCGACGATGGCATTGGCTATAAGAATGAGTAAGATTACAAAAGGTTCCACAAACGCTGTGATTGTTTCTTCACCCTCTTCAAACCAGGCCAGGACCTGAAAAAAACAGAGGGAACACTGTTGTCAGCATCATCTTGTGAGAGACATTTTAGTGAAACAGCAGGCACCAGCTCACTGCAAGGATGGTTAAAATGGTAACAGATGGAAGGATCTCAAAAAAAGTCTTATTATGCATTTAAATGAGTTCTGTGGGTTTCATCTCTTACATAAACCTTTTAATGAAAGCAGTGGTAGTCAATTGCAGCATTTAACGGTATGTTAGCAGCTAAAAGCTTGGCATTAGAGCCGAAGATTGTTTAGAGCTGAAGATCTTCTCACACATCCTACATCAATTTATACATAATGTGAAAAAAACCCAAACATGCAACTGTATGTCCATGACTACTGTGCATTTAATGACCACAATTATCAACATTAATGCACCTAACACCGTGCAGTTGTGTATACATGTACGACATCTGAATGGAAAAATAAATAAAAACACCAACCGCAGACAAAAAGAGCAAATCCTGGGAATATTGAGTAGTCATACTGGATATTTAGCATGAACTGCAGCCATTTTGTTGGGATGTGGCAGCAGAAGCATTTTAAATTGTTACTACTCACTTAGTTTAAAACATTCTGAATTGTACTCTCTTTGCATCTAAAATTACATAGTTTGAAGAAAGAGCAATTAGTTAATGTGTCATTATCGTGTCGTAAAACTATCAGTCATCATGACTGGTTTAAAAAGAATTTGGGCATAAATGAACCTTCTTTGACTGGAGTCCAAAATCCAGAGCTTGGCAGTCTGGGAGTCAATGAATGCACGCAGAAGTAGGTGTGCACATTTGACTGATAAGAGACCTCCTGTTGATGGGCCAGAGCCCAAATTTGGTCTCGAGTGGTGCTCAGTCCGTCTGCCATACAGCAGCCACTGACACCTCAGTATCACCTGACCTGGGACTGCACAATACGTACCAAGTCTGTCCCTCACACACATGTAGCTCACGTGCAATAACACTTCACTGACAAGAGCAGACAGAGGTGATAAAAAAAAGGAGAGCAAACAGTGAGAGAAAATCATGCTTAACTGAGGTGGTGTAAAAATACAAATTATAAGAATATCTAGAAGTCAATGTCTTTTTGACGTAGACAATTGACAATGCCATCATCAGAATTCAAAATCCAGTTTGCAGAACCAAACCATTAAATTATAGACACTTTAATTGGATTTTATGAATAGTTGGTCCATAATGGAGATCCTATTCAGATGTGGTGTTGCCATCCACACATGCTATCCACATTCAAATGTGGATAGCATTAACAGAAGGGGTCATCAGTTTTAAATTTAGGACAATTCTGAAGTGTTGGTCTTCTCAAGTTGTAAGCTAATATGTTGATAGTCCACATTGATTGTGCTCAAACTACTAAATAGCACCAACTTTGGAAGCAGAAGAAGCCAAATGAGCTTTGTTCCTCTGTAAAGTAAGTGCAGATCAAACAAAAGCTTTCATCTCAGAGCTGAGACGCAGGACAAGCTTCACAATAGCATTGTTGGTACCTCCCTGCTCAGGAGGTATGCTGATGATAGCTGATCCAAAAACCATCTATCAGTCAAGCACCAAGAGGCATAGTCTTAAGTCCAGAGCTCATGATGAGAGGGTGATATTACATAGCAAACATAGCCGGCCTTTCAAAATGTCTTACTTACATGGTGCGAGCAACTTAACACTACTTCTGCTGTTGTCACCATTCCTCAGATGGTCTCTAGCCTTCTCAGCTGTTTGCTCACTAATGTGACAGTATGTGACCTCGGCTTAGTTACACAAACTGAAGACATTTACGCTTCAGCACCCTGCAGTGAACACAAACACACCTCCTCCCACTCCCCCGCCAGTCATCCCACGGGGGCTAATCATGTTCCTTACTGCCATTCTGACCTTGTGTTAACACCTTCTCCGGCTATAGGAAATATATGTACAAGGAAGCTACACCTTGTCCTCCTGTTTTTAGATTAGGCACAATATACCTCACTGGTGCACATGAACAACTACTAACCAGCTGGTTTAGTGTGAACATGACTTACAAAAGCATGTAAGATGCCCACCTGCCAAGTTTTATTAAGTGACTGTAGGAGAAAGTGATCGTTTGCAAGTGCCTGCTGTTAAAATGGCAATAAATCCTGTATTTTTAAACAAGAACATCTCATATCCACAGTCGAGGAGGCATACTTACAAAAGATATACATGCTGCCAACAGAAGAATTCGAACAAGTAAATCTTCAAACTGTTCAAGGACAAGTTCCCACAAAGACTTCCCTGTGGAGAAAGGAGTTGGTTAATAATAATAATAATAATATGTCACATTATGACAGCAACCATGTCAGTGATAATACTGATTACCTTCTTCAGCCGGTAACTCTGTTTGTTCATGGAGAGGAACGTCAATCCACGATTAAAACAGGAAACACATGAAAGAAAGAAGGGGGGAGAAGAGAGAGGACAGTGAGGTTAAGGTGTGTGTGTGTGTGTGAGAGAGAATAGTTATATAGGCAGGTGGATGCATGTGCCTCAGTTCAAAGTCATATGTTTCATGTCCTCTGAGGATTCACTGTAGATATGTGATCAACTGCTCATGGCATGAAGCTTTAGTACTATTGTGTCCACTTCAGTCCAAAATCTGAACACGACGCACCATCAAGCTACAACCAACGTGGGTCTATTTTGATCGACCCTTTTGGCCTACCAAAAGAATTGCAATGACCTTCCATTGTTCTGGTCCTTTTAAGCTACTGCTACACGAGAGCAGACACAACAGCTCTGAACAGTCTGAAGAGGATTCTCATATTTGGATGAATGAAACCATGAATCATAAAACTAGCCTCATCTTAGGCAGCGTGGGCGTTGTCACTGTCCCTTTAGTGGTGACGATTACATATATAGCAATCAACGGTCATTATAAACTAGGACCGATCATTTTATGGTAAAGATCTTATTCAGAATTTTGTAAACTCCAATCACCATAAAGGTCAATATGACATGAGAAGAAATGGAGAGGGGCCTGGGGGGTGAGGATTAATATAAAACAGCTGTTTAGCCCAGGGACAAGAGAGATTAACTTGGGCAGATAAGGTTACCTTTGTGATCCGGTGGCCAGTTCTCAGTGTCAAATGCCTGCTAGGTCTCCAATGTGTACACAGGCCGATGTGTTGGGCTTTTGCTTTAAGAAACAAGCAGCCTGCTGCTGTGTTCAACAATGTCACCATGTTTGAACAATGCAGTGTCAACAAAGTCACAGTGAGGTTATGTTAAACAATGTTATCACTGTCCTCAATGCGATCATAATACAATGTTACACATTCATACGATGTTCACAATCTCACACTGGACTGCATGCAATCATCAAAATGTTGCCTATGGCAAGCCACTTTAAAATTTAATAGCTGGTCTGGATGTGTGTTACAGCCTGGATGAACATTTTAAATATCAACAACGACATTCTTTAGCTTCAGTCTTCCAAGGGCAAATGACACAAGTTTCCTCTTTCAGGGGCATGAGGTTCATTACTACAGATATTTCTAAGAGTTGTATATCCTCAATCTAAATGTATGCATAAAGTATATGCATATAAAGGGTGGACTGTTTATGCATGAATATTACAATCTGAGGGGTTATAAAACATTTCATACCTTTAAGTTAACACACATTTTTTAAGCTCTTCATTTTGGCTCTCTTTCCAGTGTTAAAATGTACTAATGGACTATGGGTTCCTGTGTGCTCATAGAAGAGGTATTTTAGCAGGAGGTACCAATACTTAGCTGGAGGTACTGCAACAGTGTCCTGGCAATTGTGGTTGCTTAGACATTTTCATACCTCATTCCTCATTCCTCATACCTCATAACGGTATGAGGCGCTGTATCAGAATACCTCTGTGTTAAATGCAAAGTAATTAGGTGTGTTACTTTACAGTTTACAGGATTAATCGAAGACCTACTGCTCTAGAGCTGCCTCTTCTGTGTCCCCGGGCTAATAATTAACCTGCACCGTCTACACAAAATCATGATGTGTTTGTCATTTATAACAGAAGAGGCCTGCATACTAAATAAGCTCAATTATGGCTGGACCAGTGGTTCTCAAACTGTGTGTGAAAATTCATATTTTCACATTTACATTTTTGAATTGAATAAACCTGAATCATACCATGCACAATTAATACAACATTTAAACAAAAATATCTTTCTAAACATCTTTCTAAACCTCTCTCCTGTGTGGTGGAAGCTAACAGTGAAGGCCTATGCTGCTATATTCTATTGTTGGTCATCATGGAGGTACTCAGAGAGATCAATGTTTTCTCAGGTGGTACAGAGAAAAAAAAGTTTGAGAACCACTGGTCTAGACAATGAAATTTAGTCCCATTTCATATCTTATACTTTGTGCAATTGATGCCACTAGTCCTAGTTATCAGGATGCTTTTATTTTAAAACAAACCCAAATTATCATTACACTTCCTATGCAACATGAGCTATTTTTTTAAGAAGACATCAATTTGCATGCTGGGGTACTTGTTTGTAAAAAAAATAATATAAAAAACAACCAAAAACAATACAAGAAAAAACAGGATAAAGACAATATTTTATCTTGTTCTTGATGAATGGTGAAGTTATAATGTTTTATTACATAATTAGCCTGGAAATTATAAGAAAGAAGAAAGTTAGGTTTGTTATCTTTGTTATAAAAAGTGGCATTTTGTATGAAAGGTTTGGGAATCCTAACCAATTTAAACGTTACGATACACTTAGACACCTGCAGTCTTATTTTCGACGCAGGTTTTATGGAAATAATTTCAAATTGTTTTTTTCTAAAATCGTTCTTTTTAAGTTCTCGTGAGTTTCTAGAATGTTCTGTGTGCCCAATGAGATTTGTCTTCACACATGTACAAATGGACGGTGCAATTTAAAAACGCAAAACCTGGGAAACCCTCGAGGACACCAATGATGACGTCAGTCATTTCACTACAGGTAACACCGGCCGGCACGCTAACTTCACGTTAGTGAACACACTGTTGCTCACAATGAACACCTTACAATTACCCGGCTTTTTTTCCGGGGCTAAAAACGTGTCTCATTAACAGCAGTCTTTGTGTGAGAGAATGCGGACATTCTTACCGTTTAGGCCCCATTTCTCCTTCTGTCGCTTCACCTCGTCCAGTGAAAGTCCCGTGCTCTCGTTGACGCAGAAATAACTGTAAACTTCTTCCACACTCTTCGTGTGAGCGTTCTCCATGGCGGACAAACAGACTGCTCCTTCGCCCCCAGAACACTGCTGTGTGCTGTTGCTGCTGCTGCTTGTACCTGCTGTAACTTAAAACTATTTTTGTATTGATTTCGAAAAGGAGAAACAGCCGAGAAGGAGCAACGAGACCTCACACACTGGGCGATTATAGACAGATACTGACTGCGGTCAAAGCACGCGTCCTTTCCCGTTCAAAAATATCAGTGTTGCAGTGAAAAAAAATTCCTCTTCCCTGTCTCTGTCTGTCTGTCTGTCTGTCTGACTGACTGACTGTCTGACTGACTGACTGACTGACTGACTGCAGATGACTCAGGGCGCCCTCTTATCTCCGGAAATGGTAGGAGAGAGTGTGTGCGGCAGAGTCCTGTGCTGGAGACCGCATCAACCCAGGTCAAGTCCTTCTCTGTGCTACCGTCCGCGAACCGTATCGTGTCGTGCCTGACCGTGGCGCAGCTCCCTGTGACTCCACGCTACTCTGCCAGTGTGGTTTTATTAAAGCGCCTCACTGCTGCCCCTCTCTGCTGCTCCGCATGTGGACCAACGCCATTGGACGGTCGACGATCAAACCATTGAGACGTGAAAAAAAAAAACACAGGAAGTCAGAAGGAAGTGAACAAGGTAGTGAGTAACTCACTCAGAAGAAACTGTCATCAATAATCTTCCCACCAATTACAGTAGGCATCAGCTAGAAGAGAACCTAGAGAAGTGGAGGTTTGCACTAGAAAGAAGAGGATGAAGGTCAGCTGAGTACATGTGTGTAAACGTAAGGGAGAACAGTGAAATAGTGAGGCGACAAGGACCAGAGGTGGTGAAGGTGCAGGAGTTCAGGTACTTAGGATCAACTGTTCAGAGCAGAGGAGACTGTGGAAGAGAGGTGAAGAATAGAGTACAGGCAGGATGGAACAGCTGGAGAAAAGTGTCAGGAGTGATCTGTGACAGAAGAGTGTCAGCTAAGGTGAAGGCAAAGGTTTACAGGACGGGGGTGAGACCAGCCATGATGTATGGTTTAGAGACAGTAGCAATAGGCAGAAGACAGGAGGAGGAGCTGGAGGTGGCAGAGTTAAAGATGCTAAGATTCTCTCTAGGAGTGACAAGAATGGACAGGATCAGGAATGAGGTCATTAGAGGGACAACACAGACAGGAAGGTTTGGAGAAAAAGCTAGAGAAGCCAGATTGAGATGGTTTGGACATGTGCAGAGGAGGGACAGTGGATACATTGGTAGAAGAATGTTAGAGATGGAGCTACCAGGTAGGAGACAAAGAGGAAGGCCAAAGAGGAGATATATGGATGCAGTGAAGGAGGACATGCAGATAGTTGGAGTCAGAGTAGAAGATACAGAGAACAGGGAGAGATGGAAATCAGTGATCTGCTGTGGCAACCCCTGAAAAAAGGGACAAAGCTGAAAGAAAAAGAAGAAGAATCTTCACATTAACTAAAGTACTTTAGGGACCAGGGAATTAATTTTCCTTGGATTTTGAATCCTCTGCTTGCTAACTTTTAAAAGACACCAGGTTCAAAACAGGTTCCGTTTGTACATTTGTCACATATCACCGGCAGGAGTGTCACAGAGAGAGAGAGCCACCAACAAAGGTGATATCACATCAGAAAGTGACCAAGGCAAATCATCTTTCCTGACTGTAGTAAATCTTCTACAGATGAATCTACTAGATCTGCTTAGCAACTGTAACAACAGCAGTGAGGGCACAAGGTTAATACCCCACGTTGTGTTTTTTAACAGCTATCCTTGTCAGCTGTTTTGCAGTACTGGCATGCTATTGTCTGTTAACACGTCTTAATGGGGTCCCAAGAAGTACATGGAGGGCTGTAACAATAATATCCTAACAGTGGCCGGTTGGACAGCAAGCTGCCCTTTACATTGCACATTTGATCCGTTTGGCACAAGAGCCACACATTTGGCTGTCAACAGCAGATTAGGTTTCTGTGGAAGTGATGTCGAGACCCCTGAAACATCCAAGAAGACATTTGTTGGTAACAACATGGTAAAACTGTGATCTGTCTGCAAAGAGGGGGGTCGAGGGGGGCATGTTACTCCCTTTGTCCCATCTCAACAGTGCACATGAGAAGTACAATCAAGTACTTCTTCAACAATCAAACAGATTTATAGACATTTTATTCTTTATCATAACATTTTTGCTCAATGATGGATAGAGTGGCATGAGTGGTAGGATTCTGGTCTGACCTACAAAAGGCATTGAGTTTGCATCGATTTAGTCTCCAATTTCAGGTTGGGTTGCATCAGAAAAAAGCATAGAGAGGCTTTATAATTATAATATAACTAACAGTGAACTATAGCTATGGTGAGCCCTCACTTTGGACAGGTCAAAGTGATTAGTCATAAAATCATTATTGAATATCAGTGTGTCTTTCCTTTTAACAATGAACATTATCTTTATTTTATGGTTTTACTTTATTCGAATTACTTATTCTGAAGACTATAGAAGATGTGAAGCTTCATTGTGTCTTTGTGGATCAAGAGAATAATATAAATGTAAATCAGGAGTGGTAGTAAAGTACTTGAGGTTTGTCTAAAACATAAAAACAGTGAGAGTGCAGGGTAAGAGTGAGAATACTTCAGGGATAAATGTTGAGTTATTTTTTGTTTGCAGTGATGAAGGTTCACAGATAAGGTTAGATATACTAGTAAAGGTTAATGTTTGCAGATGAGATTCTAACAGTGAATCATGAATACGCAAGACGTTGCTATAATGAAGGTGGTTGAGTCTTCTCTGATCTAGGGTCAACCATCCAAAGTACAGAGGATGGAAACAGGTTGTAGTATGAATCGGGACAAGGGTGATGTTTGTGTATATTTGCATCCTAAATATGCAGTGTTTCAATTTGTTACACTGAAACTATGGCCACACAAGGTTAAACAATGACTTGGCCTTTAAGATGAACAGATAAAACCTGGGTTCTTCTTTGAAATTCATTTGTCTGCAAATAGATGAGAAGAGGTGAAAAAATGCTGAAGAGGGATGAAAATGAAAATAAAGAATTCAAAGATCGTTTAAACAGTGTTGCTTCAAAGGTTTATTTTACAAATTATTGTTTTTACAACAAATATATTTGACACTAACATATTAGCAAACATCCTGGAACTACGGAAATAATGGATTATAAGTTATATGAAACAATACAAGCCGTTTTATCTGCACTTGTACAACCATTGTTGATTGTCTCTTCAAATACCAAACCTGCCAAGACATTCTGTCCAAGGTCATGGTTGTCCCTGCCAAAAATAGTTAACCTAGGTCAAATCCTAAGTGCACCACTTTGTATCTTATCTCTGGACACTAGGGCTGAAAGTGTCTTTAAAGATGTGGTCCAAAAAGAGTCTCCGTTGGTTAGCTAACATAAAAACCATTGTCTCATGACGCCTCCTAATACATGGTGTATTAGGATTCACAAATCATCTTATATTTCTGGTTATTCAAAATGAGCTACTAAGCAAAGTTTAAATGAATCTGTTGCATCTGAATGCAATGTAAAAATGCTCATTGTTTCAGGGAAGATGCAGAAGGAGTTAGGATTTCACTCCCTCCTGTGACATCTCCTTCCTCACAACACCAGCCGATCCTCTCCTCCCTTTTGGATGACTTGACCAATAGATGCCTGGTTTTGAGCTCGTATGAAACACTGCCTCTTGCACTCTAGCAGCTGCTCCAGGTCCTGCCACAGCTTCATCTGCTCCATGTTGTCCCCATGGTTTTCTCGTACCAACTTCTGCTTCTCACGGAGCTTCTGCAGCCCACAGAGACGAGACAGAGTCAGTGAAAACAAAGAAAACTGCATCAATAATATGGGTAAGTAGCTACATTAATGCTTGGATTGGAAACAGCATGATCCATTTCTGCAGACATGCATTAGAACCAGCAGCTGTAGTTGTACAGTAGCAACAATCTGTCAGTTATTGTACAAGTTGGTACCTTAAGAAATTACCTAGAAAGGTACCTAAAAATGAATGTGTTGAGAAATCCCAGAATGACACCTGGGATTTCACGTGTACATATAAATGACATCTGCTCAGTCACACCGTACACACTGTGTTTTCACCTTTCCAAGTAACTCCTGCTCTGAAATACTCTTCATGTACATCTCCCTGTAGAAGAACAAGAACATTAAAGTATTACATGGTTAGCATCAACTTTTTCAAGACACTCTGTGTTGTCTTCTGATGAATAAGGTGGTAGTAACGAGAGCTTCCTGTGATCGGCTCAGGTTGCGAGCAGCTGGTGGATGTGGACCATGATGCTCACCTGATGGTCTTTTTCTTCTCTTGGGGATCAGAGGACACATAGGCCTTCATCTCCTCAGCAGCCCGCTGTAGTTGCATCTCAGTGATCTGTGGAACGCAGAGATGACGAGTTCATTATGTAAGACAGTATCCTGCTTGGTTAGACACTTGGAAAAATGCAGTGAGACCTGTAAAATTCAACTAAAGACTTGGAAAGTATTGAACAGATCACATGTAAAAAATAGACTATTGCATCAAAGCTGGAATTTTAGACACCTCACCTTGGTGACGACATTGAATCCTAACATGAATACCCATATAAAGCCTATTAAATTAGTTGTGTAATACAACCTCTGTAGCTAATGTCACACTGTCCTGCTTTTATATACATGCCTGTATCATGGAGTTGAGATAGTGATACTGGTTTTCCTCCTGTGACGTCTCTTCTCTTAATGATTTCACCTCCTTGAAACCAAACACATACATATACATACATGATAAGTTGGCATTATAATATGAAATGCCTTATATTTTCTGAAGAGACCAGACATTTTCAAAGTGATGCTGTACCTGCTCCAGTTTAGATCTGTTGCTCTCAAGACCAGCAGCACAGCTTTCATACTGTGCCTTCTTCTCCTCATATTCTTGACTTTGCTCCTGTCCAGATGAGAATTCACAACGTCATACACAGAACTGATATCACACACTGGACAAACATGTTGGAATTTAAATTGTAAATACTTTTGTCAGACCTTCACTGTATCAAGTTAAAGACTACAGCTGGCAGTGTGAGCAGTTTAACTCAGGGCAGGCTCTTCATAGAGTCTATTTATGTCTTCCTGTTGCATCTCTTCATTAGCAGACGTTACTCTGTAAGAGTTGTTCTGGAAACACGTGTAGGAAAATGTAATCCTCTGCTTTAGCACAGCGATGTGGGGGGGCTTTCCCATCATGCATTTTATTTATGGAGTACGTAAATTACTCTTAATGGACTCAGGGCAGCAGAACACACAGGCACAAGGCAAGTTCGCTGTCACTGGTTTGGTCCTTAAAAAGAAGGGAATCGACATTTGTAAATTACCTTGATTTTGTTAAAAGTTTTATTTTGACTCACTTTGACACAAAAATGTCTTGAACATTAGTGAGATTTTAAAACTGATTCAGTGTGGTCTCACACACACTAAAACGTTTAAGCATCAAAAGTCAGCAAAAACTTCTGAAAGAATTAGCACCGTAGTACTATTACAAGTACAACTGCATGAGAAATTGTTCCTTGAGAGAGGTTAGCCAAATTCTACCATGTAGCAAATGGGCAACTAAATAAACACTAGCCAACAATTGTCCATAAAAAAAATTGTACACATTAAAAACAATCCTCTGTAGAAGTGTCACTTCTCTTATAGTTTTTATTCTTCCAAGACGACAGCATTTGTGCTGTCTAATGCAGACAGGACAGTCAGTGCTGCTAAGTCATTTTAGTGAAAGTGCCTTGGTAAATACTGCGGGCAAAATTACTTCGGAGTTTGCATCTCATTCAGATCACATGATCTGTCTACTGTTGATCATATGTAAAAAGGTAAAGCTGAAATGTCAACATCCTAATTTTCATGTCATTTGAAAAGCCGCTGCACACACCTTGTTATTTAAATGGGTTTGCAGATGCACTTCATCGTTACCTCCATCCAGTATTGTGTGTGTAAGTGAGGACTGTCCAGAGTCATGTTGTGTTGGTGATTCTCACCTGACACTCTTGTCTAAGTGCTCTCAGTTCTTTGATGATTGGAGCCAGAGCGGACTTCTTCTCCACAATCATAGAGTTTAGTTTCTTCACCTGTGAAAACATCACATCATTTGAGCAAAACTTTTAGATATTTGTAGGTTTTGGTTTCTACAATCTTTACCTGACGTTTGCAGCTAATTCCATCAGACTATTTTTTACCCCTGATCAACAGCTGCGATTTTCCTAGAGACACATGTAAAATGTTTGTTTCCTATTCTATGGTCACCATTTCAGACATGTCGTCCAGTGTACGGCCTTTCTTTTCGTCCAGTTCACTCTTGATGGCAGAAACTCTCTCCAGTTCTTCCTGAGTGTCACTGTAACCAGATATGCCCTTTTCAGCTTCCATTTTTTGCTGAAAAAACAAAACAAAAAAAACTTAAATACCACCTGAAAAAATGGACATGGATTTTTGAAACACATGACACAAACATTTAACACTCAGCGGTCACCAACATGGTCTACCTAAGGTGCATATGTGAGGTATTTTCTAAAAATAAAACTAGTCAACAAGAGGGTCAGAAATTGTACTGTTACTGTGCTTTTTGAATCAGTTACACTTCCAATGATATTCAAATGGGTGTAATGGTAAGAAGAGTGTCTGCTATTGTATGACCCAGAACTGATTATTATTACATTGTCCAGAAAGTCTGTATCAAACAAGTAGCTCTTCGTATGACTAAGTGCCCTTGAAGTAGCTCTCAGTTTCAAAAAGGTTGGTGACCCATCAGCTCTAGGCTGAACTACATTAGCATTTAGTAATGTGATGGCTGAGCCACGTCACTAGCTGAACATGTGACCAACAGGAGAACCTTTACTGGTTGAACATCTTGTCATGAATGCAGCACGCAGACAGAAGAGGAGAAGCAGATGCAGCATTCAGAAATAGCAGCTCTGTCTGCGTCAGACTGCCCATTATCATGTCAGGTGCTGGGATCTCACTGAGGTGTCAAGCCATTTCCAGGAAGGCTCTATCATTTCACCATTAACACAAACTACATGAATGTTGGGGATCAGGTGAAAACAGCACATCTGATATGGCAGCACGAGTCCAGGGAGAGGCTGCTGCCGGTAGGGAGAACACAGGATGCTTGATGAAGAACAGGAGGAACGTGTACGAGGGTTTTCTTGTTCTCTAGATACATGACAATTAGTTCAACCCAACATACAACACTGCTACAGTTACCACACCTGCTTTCACATCTACCTTACACACAGAAGGTTCTGGGTTCAAGCCCCAGAGGAACTACATACTCGGTGCCTCCAAGGGGCAGTCTAGTGTAGCAGCTCTGCTGTTAACACAACAATTACCCCAGTGTGGGATCAATAAATATCTACTGATCTATGATCAGGTTATTACTTTCAGTCCAATCTTAAAATGGATGTTAATCCAATGACGTCTGAAGGTAAAATATGTTGAGTGTTTAGAAACTTTAGTAAAGTGACTGTGATGGTTTGGGGCTGAATTTTATACAACAGTGTTAGGACCAAGTGTATCTTTACCTGGGGAATAAATAAATAAATTAGCCTCTAATTAATGCTCTAAAAATGACCACATTCTTACTAGTTTTTGATGAACGGTGTCATCTCTCTGCTTGAGAATCTCCTCTGTCCGCTGCAAGACTCCGTACTCAGCTTTCAACTCCGCAATTTTCTGCCGTTTCTTCTTGTACACGGTGCTTTTGCTCCGCAGTTTTGCCACCAAACGTTTAAGCTTAGGGGCACAAAAAATAAAATCAACATCATTGACGTCATTGAAGGGTTGGTCAGTAAACACATGCTGTTTATAGGTTTAACACATTACAAAATAAACAACTCTAGCATCTGCTTGGACTTTGCTAAAGAATGTGAGACGCTGGCTGCGTCTTCTCTCATGCCCCAGAGAAAACATCTGGCTGCAAAACACGTGTCAGTGGTCAACAGCTCGCCGCTCACATCAATCTGACATTCACATCTAGAAAGGAAGTGCAATTTAGTTTTTAGGCTGATTTGCCTGCTAACGAGTATGTTTACAGTTAAAGAAAGATCAAGCCATACAAGGAGAAACAGCTAACAAAAAAGAACCAGGGATTATTTTGCTAATTAATTATATTCTAATTTAACTGCAAGCTATATTTTGAACCAATTTTGAAACTCTTTGGACAATTCTTAGCAATTTCTGGGTAACATTTTTGTTTTGCTAGACTACTTTAGGCAATATATTAGCTATTAAATTATTAGAAAAAATATATCATAACAATAAAGTATGACCATGGCTAAAATATTGGGCCATGGATGAAGACAAAAGGTTGAGTCAAGGGAGAAAAGAGAGGGGATTAGAATTGAACAGTGAGTCCAGCTGAAAGGCCACGAGGGTCACGCTATGATGTGACACAGTCACTCGATCTCCTCAGGTTCAGGGCCAGCTATGTTTGCAGCGAGCAGCTTCATCGGGCAGAGCAAGTGCTGTGAGTGGCTGTTGAGTGCCTCCCCACCCTGACTGTCTGCTGGGACACAATCAAACGTCTCCACAATGAAGAGCAGCTATAAATGAACATGGACACTGGAGAACAGCCCCAGAAATCACAGAACAGGCCTCATGTCCTCTAGGGAGCTAGGAGGCAGGATGTATGTGTATGTACGTGTGCGTGGACATTTATTCTTTGTGTATTTTGGGACATCAAGGACAGACGTGGTTAAGTGTGGAATTAGTGCAGCAGAATAATGGGAGGCAGCGCTGTCAACTTTGTGTCCCCAAAACAACTGTGTGTGAAGTGTAGAGCGGCTGAGACACCTGTCTCAGGCACAAAAGAAAAAAAAAACACAGAGGGAGCACGCACACGAAAAGTAACATAACTGTGAACACATAACTATTTGTTAAAAAGAACATATCCAGAACATGGCAGGAACTATGACGACTTTGATTGGAAAGTAAAGATGAGAGTCCTCAAAACATCCTTCACTATTTAATCATATATTAAGGAAATGGTAGTGTAAAGATGTGAAGCTTTGGCCCAGTCTCTGTCATTGGTGTGGAACCTCAGGGTTCACATCCTGGGCAAGTTTGAATCCCAGTTAGGGCAGTTTATACCTTCCAGTGGACTCACCACCTGCAGGAAGGTTCAGGGGGGTTGGTACGGTGCAGTGTGATTTGGGTGGAGGTCATGGAGACTGCTGCCCCCGTGACCCGGTAACGGATAAGCGGATGAAGATGCATGGATAGATGGATGGATGGATAGTGTAATGATGTAGGAGAAAGTGTGGAAAAAGTCGGCAGTCACTCACAAATTTTCTGTGAATGCCCAGTGACTAAACATTTTTTAAAGAAATGTTAAAGAGAAAATTGATAATAACCTCTAAGGAGTTATGATGCTAATCAAAGATACTGTAGATCCTATGGATTCTTCTACTGATTTCTAAGATGATAATAAGGACAAACTGGAAAGATGTAAAACGACCAAAGACCCAGAGATGTGAACAGACATTTTGAGACCCAACTGTGTGGAGTTATAAATGGGACTCTGAATCAAGACAGGACTCTGTAGCTGCTGCCTTAAGACAGTCAATAGACACAGACGTGGCCCATTTCTCTCACAGAGGTCAGCTTTCCTTAGTTCTAAATTAATTTTCTTTTCTCTATATATAGCCTCACGAGATATATAATTGTCCTCCTTATCCTTTTCACTCCTGTCTGCTTTCTACCATTGAGGGGCCAATGTGTCACTGTTCAATATATCATCCATATGAAACTCAAAAAAAAAAAGAAGAAAAAAACAATCAAAAACGTTTTGCCTCAGGGAAAAGACACGATTCTCGAAAACAGCTGACTATTTAGATCATACCCCATAGCTAACTTCAGCTAACATTTACCAAAATTAAATAAAAGACACCCTAGAAACAAAAGTTAAACATAGATAAGGAATACACTTGGTTACATGCTAAATGATTTTGAAACCTGGATGAAACTGTGATAAATGTCTTTTTTCCTACTTATTTTAGTTAAAAACAGACCCAGGATGGGGATTTGGAATGGCTAGGCTTAGACATCACAGATTTTATAAACAAACACTTTTAAATAGATTCAAGAACTAGTGTATATAACCGAAAATAAAATCTAATGTTTTTAAGCTGGATTGACTTAGGAGAAAAAAATGGTTACATATTGCTGTGATTGATAGCGATTTGACTGCAGTGGGGATAAATTTATCCTGTGGCGGAGCTGGCTGTCAAAGTGGTTTAATGTTACTGGCCAATCGATGACGAGCAGATGCAGTCATCCCTCTCAGAGTCAGTAGGCAGCATGTGATGACACATAACCTGCAGAATGGAAAATACCTCTGATAAAGTGATCATCTCTTCAGGGGCTGATGGAGCATAACTACAGAGGAACTGTGTCTTTGGACCCAGAGTCCCTTTTTGTCCCTGTCAATAACTCTGCTTCTTATTTCACTCCGAGCATCTGTGCAGCCGACATCCCCACCACTTTTTCACATTTCCTTCTGTTACAGAGGGAAAACTTCATGAAGCTGGTTTTTCTGAGTTCTTCAGAATTATATAATTAAAATGTATAGAAATAGTCATTATTATGCTTTGTATAAGAAGACGGATATATTATTTAAGGGAATCTTCAGTTTTTATCTCTACAAATAGTAAGAGACGATATCTATTTTTTTACAGGCAGATAGGAACTAATACTTAAGAGTCACAACGGAGAACTCTAGGAAACTGTAACAAAGGTCATCTTCTTTTCAGTATTCTGGCTTTGTTGTCTGAAACTTTGTTGACTAAATATTGTACAAGTACAAAGTTTGAGATTAAAAACACACAAAACTAGACTGATAAACCAGGCACACACAGGAAGAACATATAAACTCAGACAAACCATCAGTTACCACCAGGGTTTCAACCAGCTACAGACTGAGGCAACAGCTCTAACCACTGTTCTACCGTGGCGACTCAGAAATTGTTATTTCTTCTGATAAACAAAACTAAAGTGAAATGTTAGGCCATCATTTTATCAGTCACAGGCATGGAAAACGACATGAGTCACAACCAGAAATCCATTTGTCAAAGAAACACCGCATTTTTTAGTCATGTGTATTAGGCTGAGCAAAGTTCTTCTAAACTCCACAGAAATATAGATATTTTTAACTTTATACCACTATCTGCTATATTTCTGTCACTACAGCATTGAGTACAGAGCTTATTGCAGGTTGTACATCAACTCCAGTTGCCCCCTCCCAATATTTTGCAGGTCAAAGTTCAAAGTCCACACAGGGACAACAGTCCTGGAACAACACTCACGTGCAGTGACCGCAGGGATTGACAGAGAATCCACAGAACAATGAGCGGAGAAGGAGAAGAAGAGAAAACCCTGGTAACCGCACACCTGCGGTTTCTGCCGTTCTTACGTCATGGATTTCACTCGTGTGTGTCAAACGGCGGATTGTAAAAACTCTCTGCCACACAGTGAAGCAGCGCTGCCATCAATCAGTGCATCTGTGTTAATGCGGAGCTGTTAGTACCTGACGGTGACTGTAAGGAGAAAGAACTAAGTGATTTCCCGAGGGCTTTAACACATCTAAAAGACTGGCTCTCTTTCTTCTCATCAGCAGTGTAATCAGGTTGGACAACGTGACAACACACAGTGGACCAGGCCATGTGTCTGAAAGTGGGAGAACATTCACGTCATGGGATATAAATACAAAGGTATTAAGGCCCCCCAGTCTGTTTAATGTGTTCAGCTGACTAGAATTAGGAGACAGATGACACTGAAGATCAGGGTAAAAGGACAACTTTCAACCACTTTGTCCCGCTCATTTCCGTGTTCTGGATATTCTCTGTTGTGTTCTATTTATGGTTCTGCATGGGAATGTGGGGGAGAGCAGGGGAAAGGAATAAGTAACATTAGACAGTGAGTCCGTCTGTGTTTGGATAAGAACAGAAATAGCCTCTTGTGTTTTGTGCGGTTTGCAGATCTACGCGTGTGCAGGCAGATTAAGCTGGCGTCTGTGTGTGTGTGTGTGCATGTGTGATAGCAGCAGTTACATCACACTGTTAGAAGATAACCAAGCAGAGCACATTTTATCAGAGGTGAACAATAAAAAAGAAATACTACAACAACACTTTGTTACTGAGGAAATTATCTGTTACAGTTCCATCTTTCCAGAATTCCTAGTTAGGTGAATATTCTGCTACTGCATTACTGCAAATTGTACCTCGTCACCCCGGACAACCTCTTCTCCATCTAAGGTCTGTGTCTGGCTGCTCCTCTGCTTCAGCTCCTTCTCTGCTGCTGCCAGCTCCTCCCTCGCTTCCTGCAGCTCCTCTGTTTTTGCCTCCTTCCTACGAAAGATGATGGAAGCCTGCAGGAATGATTCTGCGTTAGATATACAAACACGACAAACACAGTGACTTTCTAGGGAAGGAAGATGGCACAAGACTAGAACACCGTTTATGACACCTAGGAGTTCCTTAGAACTTAATGCCACACATGTAAACATGATCTTGTCTGTGTATTCCTTCCTGTTCCAGGCTTTTCCCATGAGCAGCGTTGCTTTGTGAGAAAAGAGAACAAAATCTGACCTGTGATCTTTTATCCTTGACTTTACAGGAAACGGATAGACGGATAAATACTGCTACATCACATCCACTCTTTAAACAAACCAACTGAGGAATGTCTGCTGTGTAACACAGGCTGTTTAAAAATACAAGTAAATAAAAACTTTTCACCTGTTGCCTGTAGAGGGTCATCTTGTCGTCCATGGGGTCATTTCTCATCATCCTCTTCTCAATAAGCTGGTTTATCTGAGAGTCAACCGCTCTGATCTGTGGAAGGGGAAAATATCTGATCACACGGAGACAAAGACGACAGTGTTTGAGTCACACTGTAAAAACACACGTCGGTTCTGACCTTCTCCTCCAGCTCCTGCAGGTCAGCATGGCTCATGGCAGGTTCTGACACCACCTTCTGAAGGAACTGCACAGAGTTTCTCATTGCCTCCAGCTCTTTAGGCAGTTTCTCAGAGACCATGTAGGAGTTGATCTTGATATCCATCTCCAGTCGCTTTATTAAGCCTGACAGGTAACAGAGATTTAAATGTAACAGAATAGGTGACGAAAATCCTAGCAATAATCAATTACCGTTTTAAAGTTAGACACAAAAATATTTTTCACAAATAATAAACAAAAAAACGAGAAAGATAGCTACAAATTTGACTAGAGGGAAAATGAGAGAGAGAGAGAGAGAGAAAACCCTGAATTATCTTCTGTGTCCCTGTACCAAGCAGCAGCAAAGGAAATACTCACTCTCTGGGTTGGCATCAGCTGCCGCCTGCTGCAGGTCCTTCAGCTGCTGCTTCGATCTCTGCAGCCTCTGTTCTGCCTGGAACAGCTAAACACAAAAGAAAAAATATAAAAAATAGATCACCAAACAAAAAAGTGGCCTAATTAAATCTAAACCTGCATGTCTAAATATTGTTTGTCCTGCTGTGTTTTTATCACAGGGCATCAGGATTTGGTCAACACACAGGAATGGTTGACATCCTGCCGCTGAACTGTTTTAGATGTTTTATTTATTTAGATTAAGAGAGTTACAAATGTAAGGTCCCAGTCACCAAAACACAGAGTTGTAGGATGTTGTATAAAAGTGTGGATATGAGGTGTAGACTTTTGTGATTGAACAATTATAAACATAAATAAAATAAAATGTGTTTTCCATATTTTATGTCTATCAAGTTGATCTTAAAAATCGACCAAACATCAGGCTAATCTCAAGGCAGCCAGGCCAAAGGTGTTGTCTAGAACTTATTCAGTCTGAACCAAATTTGATTATGTAAAAATGTCAAAAACAGGCACATAGTGGAAGTGGTTTGTGCACTTGACAAGAAAATCACTGATGATCTTTTTGCATGGAGTTTGTTAGTGAACACTGAGCGGAGCGTGGATATAAATGTGAGTGTGAATGGTTGTTTGTCTCTATATGAGGCATTGTGAATGATGAGGGAACTGTACAGAATACACCCTGCTGTTGCTCGATGAATGCTGGGATTGGCCCTAGCTGCCACAGTAACCCCAAAGAGAGGTAACACGTCTCTTAGCTTCTATGGCGATACATTTACCCAAAAGCTAAGAGAAAGGACATCGGTGAAATAAAGGCAAAACATGAAGTAAAGACTTGTCAAAAGTTAACATTTGGTTTACTTGATTCTGCTGTTCTTGTCTCTGGTGTGTCAGAGCCTCCTCTCTCTCGTTCTCCACTCTCAGCTGCCTGGCCTGTTCCAGCATCCGCTGGTGGTTGGACACTGACTCCACCTAGTGGAGAGACCCCATAATGAAATCCTCTGCACAAAAATATAAACGCAGTCTCTGTGAATACCAAAGCACCTCTAACAGAGTCAGGTTTCACCTTTTTAGCATCGACTTTAAATCAACACCTCGTTGCAGCAGACACACTTGTTCACAATGTGTGTAAGGCTGTCAATGCTATTAGAGGAGCTGGTTACACATGACTGAGGGCTTGTTCTCATTCCTAAATACTTCACAGCATCTAAAGGCTGGATGTTCCAGCTGTACCTTTTTCTTCAGCCTCTCAACACGTTTGAGCAGCTGGTCCTTCTCTTCCTCCATTGCACTAATGTCCTGTGGTCAGAGACAAGAATGCATCACCACATATTAAGGAATGTTATAATACCACTGACATTTGTTTTTGTCAGTAAGTGCTTAGAGTAGCATTTAATTTTAAGACAAAACAGGTTTTCACAGTAATATATTTACTTTATTTACATACCATTCATGAAAAAACATTTTTAGCTGCTAATGTTTGGGCAGGGGTTGATGATTTGTGGGGTTAAAACAACTGGAATGCATCCGTTTAGTTTACTAAAATCTTTATGTTAGTAGGCGGGGTTTGATGAGATTTTAAAATTGTTGCACAAACATTTGAGAAATTATTCAAACTAAATTGGTGGTTGGTTTACCCTTCTGATTTCTGCCATGGAGAACCCTGACGTCCTCAGCTGTTCACACTCTTTGTGATACGTCTTAAATGCTTCCACCAGCTCTTCATACTGTAAATACAATTGAGAGAAAAGTAAAGACTCTTCTGCTTGTGGTCAACTAAGCATTACTTCAATATCTATGAGCAAAACGCAATAGTATGCAAAATAAATACAAAAATATATAATGGAAAAACCAAAATATTCTGCTGCTTGTGAGAAAACAACATGTGGATTACTAACAAACCTGGTTATTGGTGTCATTGATGACATCATCCTGGAGAAACTCAGCAGGGACCTCCAGTCTGACAAGAAAGCGAGCCAAGTAAGCCCTCTTCTTCAGTTCAGGAAGTCTCTGCAGCAGCCAGTGGAGGATCGGGTGCACCACAGGTTTGCTGCCTGTCACAAGGCCCTGTCTGAAAGTGCTCCTGCACGACGAGAAGGGATACACAGCATGTGTATTTGAACATGGCTGAAGGACAACATGGTTTGTACAATCCACACAGAGTATCCCTACACTTACACATCAGAATGATTTCCTGGAGGCAAATATTTGAGCATCCCCAGCAGAGCACACATTCTCTTCACTGTTTGTTCAGGCATTTCTTCTCTTATATCTATGGCTTGCTGAAAAGCAAGAACAGCAGTTGACAGTGGATTGAATATGATGAATTAAGAATATCGAACGTCATATGACCAGACCACTTTTCGTATATCCAGGTAGACCGAGAATTGTTCGAATTGGTCGCTAACCATGCACAAAAGGTAACAAACAGGGCTGTGTGATGTATTGAGCTACGCGGCGGCACAAAGTAACGCATGCGTCTTTATGTGTGTATCCTTTCAAATATGAACCAAAACAAACCACAACTCAAGCTATGTCGTCTATCGATGCATGGAATAGCTCCAGCTAATGTTAAAGCTAAAGTTAGCCATGTGTTCATTACCTTCGGGTCGACTTCAGCCAGCACATCGTTTAAAATCTGCAGTAGTTGCATCGGCTCCAGGCAGTCAAAGGTGATAAGATTAAAGTTTTTCTTGAACGGCTCTTTGTTGATTTGTTCAACGATGAATTTCAGTTGCTCACTCATCGTAGAAGTGCTACACGATCAGCTAACGATACCGACTTGAGCTCCCCGCTGATAGCGAACCAGGTTCGGCACAAAAATATAAAGACTAGCTCAGGCTAACCAACGACGAAAACGTTCTTTTGCAAAAACCTAACCCAATTTGTCCAAAAACGGTACATTCACGTCGCCGAATTAATGTTTTGTTGTGTAATCGCTACCAGACGTGAGCGATTTGTTTTCTCCATGGAAACCATAGAACGTCACTGATTGGCTGCTTGGTCGTTAGCAGGAAGTGTCTCAGAAAGTCCGTGTTCTCCAAAGTTCTATGACGCCAAATATGCGCATATGACTTAAACAATTGAAATAACTTCAAAACGATAAACTGTTTTTTAATATAAAGAAACATTTAAAAAATGAACACATACCTCCTATGATTTTGACCTAGATTTAGACGTAGATTAAATACAAAAATGAATAAATATGTCCGTTGAAATCATTATTTATTAACGTAACTTGTTGTTTGCAGGCGCAGCTTTACTCCTGGTTTGGTTTCCAGGTTTGCTTCTCTGCGTCCTTCTCCCTCCTCTTCTTAACGATTTGTCTGCGTTCTTGAGGTGTGACAATTTCCTCATTAGTTCTATAATGAGAGAGAGAGAGAGAGCGCCGTTATTAATGAGTGTAATATGACACCAGACCAGCAGAGGGTCTAAGAGAGCTGTATAGTTTTCGCTGCATTTACCTACGAACTCAGGTTTACTTTGACTGCAGCTGTTTAAGAGAGGAACATATTTTGGACTTCCAGTGACGTCGTCTTCTGGATGAGAGTGGAGAATTTAAAATTAATCAAATGAATGACCTTCATATACCTACGTAATATCAACAGTAATATCAACAGTAAAAGCTAATTTGGAGAAATTGAGCTTTTACTGTTTCCATTCAAGTGTTAAATAGGATTTAACATATATTTATCTGTCTTATGTAATTTATATATATATATATATATATACACATATATATACACACACTATATATATAGTATATACAGTTGTGTTCAAAATTATTAAACCCCCACTTCAATAAAGTGTTGTTGCAAGTTTGACATTTATTATTTTACCTTTTTTGTAATCAGATTAAAGAAGGACTTGACAAAGACTAAACTAGACAAATGCAACTGAAATTACAACAATATTTCTGGTGATATACTAACAAATGTCCTCTCCGTGTTTGCAACATTTACAAAATTATTCAACACCTTTGTCACATCCGTCCTTAGTACTTAGTACAACATCTTTTGGCAGTTATAATGTGAAACATAGCTTGACACAAGTTTGTTGCAGCCCATTCCTCATGGGCAAAGCCTCCACATTCTTGGGCTTGCGTGCTGCAACTGCCTTCTTCAAGTCCCACTAGAGATTTTCAATTGGATTTAAGTCAGAGAATTGCGATGGTCACTCCAGAATGTTCCAGCCCTTCGTCTGCAGCCAAGCTCTGTTTGGAGGTATGCTCGGGATTGTTGTCCTGTTGCAAGGTCCAATGTGGAGACGGAAGCCTCAGGGTTGTGACTCACTGCACAACATTTACGTCCAAGATCTCCTGGTAGTTAATAGAATTCATGGTACACTGCACACACTGGAGATTCCCTTTACCTAAAGAAGCAAAACAGCCCCAAAGCATGACTGACCCCCACCATGCTTCACAGTAGACAAGGTGTGCTTTTCTTCATAATCCTTGTTCTTCCTTATCCAGACATACTGTTGATCCATAGGCCCACAGAGTTCCAATTTTGTTTCAGTACAGTATCCCAAAACCTTTGTGGTTTGTCCACGTGGTTTTTATCATATTGGAGTGGACTCTTCTTGTTCTTTGGAGTCAGCAGGGGTTGGCACCTGGGAGTTCTGGCCCAGGTGACATATCCACTGTGCTTTTAGCTTTAAACATATGAATAATGCTTCCAATTGTGTCTCTTCAAATGTTTAACGTCTTTGCAATCTTTGTATAACCATATCCTTTCTTATAAAGATACATCAACTTCTCTTTTGACATCTTTGATCTTTCCCTGGACTTCACCATGTTGCAAAGAAAACTGTCTAGATGGAGCTGAGTACCTGAGTTGTAAGATTTCGTTATGAACACTATTACAAATATATTGATTTCACTAAACCCTTTACAGTATTGGGGGTTGAATAATTTTGTACACAGCTGTATATAAATAAAATGGCATGGTAAAAAATTAAAAAATCTTTATACCAGCTCTGTACTTTTCCAGTTAAATCAGTGTTGCCTAAAAGGTAGATTGGGATCTACCAGTAGATCTCAAAGGGAGTGCTGGTAGATCCTGAGAAATTACATTTAAAGAAACAAAAAAAAAGAAAAAAAAATGATAGATTTGATTCTATTTTAAGATGCTCATCACTAGAGCTAAAGTCAGGACCATAGAAGTATTGAGTCAGACGGTATTGTGCCATACAACTACAGCCATTTAATCAAAGTAGTGAATATATATTTATAGTTTTCAATGTAGGCAGATCACTTTACCCCGGTCATTTGAAAAGTAGCTCCCAAGCTGAAAAAGTCTGGATACCCCTGAGTTAAATCATGTCTGATATTTAAATATAAATAATAAATTATAGATGCTAGATTTTTTAATTTGAATATTTGATGGATACTTTTTTTGACTAGTGGGCATGTATGAATGAACAGACGTACTGCAGACCCTCAGGAGGACGTAGTACTGCCTCTGCTGCAGGACACTGCTGGCTCGAGCTCCACTGTGCTGCTTCTCCTGCAGGTTCATCACTGCACCACTGCTGTCCATCAGGTCCACACACTCTACACACATTATTTCATCTATACATTATCAGTGTACCACCAGTTTCAGCCAGTACAGACTTCCTACCTATTCACACCTGCTGCTGACTTCATCTATATATTTAAATATTTGATTCTGTGATTTCAGCACTGAAAACATTCTTTTTGGAATTACAAAAAGCACACAGTGAACGATCAGGCAGCAGAAGACCAGCACCTTAAGTTTCCCACTGATCTAAAAACATTTCCCATACCATATACAAACACATGGAAAATATAGACCATCCATTTACAGAAGGGAACATATCACCTGTGGAGTCCAGACCACACTTTCCCTTTATATGTTGAATCAAGTCACTCAGCCTGCAGTTGAGATTGCACAACTCCATTCTGTTGTCTGTCAAAGGCATTCAGAGCATTTTAACATGGTTCATATTTGATTAAAAAAAAAGTCAACATGAACTCATTTTATTTAACTATGAAAACTACTAGAACTAATCTTGATGTTAATTCAATTCAATTTATTGTATGAACCAGATATTTACTGACCTCCAAACAGAACAGTGACAAACATGTCCGGGTCTTGTTCGTAGCACAGATTCCACTGGCTCTGGTACCTGGAACTATCAGAAGGTCAACACAACAGTTTATTCCATTAAGCCCAATCACTGATGAGGTGCAGCATGGAAATAAGACGACTTTTTTCTGACAAGGTCTGCTGGCCTTTAGTTAGAGGCTGCAAACACCAACACCTTTATAATGTAGAGACAGTAAACTTACACACACACTCACACACACACACAGTTTGGATCTCTTCTAAGCTGAGGTCCATAAAACCCCTGAATGAGGCTCAGTGTTTCTGGTGTCCATGGAGTTTCTCCACAGACGCAGGCTTTACTGCTGTGGAAACCCTGGACTCTGCTGCTACTTTTTACACAGTGACGTCAAAACTAACCAAAGAACAAAAAAGAAGGGTTTTATCGTTTCCCGCCAAACACTGGAACCAATCCATGTTTGGCTTTAACACTGCTGGACTGAACCAAGGTTTACCTTCAGCCTGATGTCATTAAAGACAGACAGTCCCAGTGTGGGGTCAGGGAGAGCTACACCCTCAGCTACACCCTCAGTCAGTTCACATTTACACCTATATTCAATTAAAAGTGTCCAAATAAGTTAATCCTTCATGAACAAAAAGACTCTCAGTGATCACCAAGACTAGAATAAAGAGAAATAGAATGAATAATTAAGTTAAACAGAAGAATGTTTTTTAGAGCAGTCCTTTAATGCTGTTTTCATAAATACTCGGGATATTAGATAAAATGTTATTTTCCAAATATGGATTCTTAGGGCACAAAAACCTCATCGTGACTTTAAGTATCCAACTGAGAGGAGAAGACACGGCCTCCGCAGACAGCAGCGGCAGCAGAGACTCCAGAAGCTTCTGTAGTGAATCTTTAAAAAAAACATTCAAACACCCACGGGGGAAACTTTCAAAAAGATGTCTCTGAGCCCTGTAACCTGAACTCACATGGGGAAGCTAAATAAGAGCTGGGAAAATAAAGACCTCCTCAGATGGTGTGACTGCTCCACTGACCATGTTTCTGAATGAGATAAACAGGATCTGTGTCTCCATCTGATATGGACCACGACCCGGGAGTCATGAGGACAGTCTGTGCTCATCAGTGAATGCAAACACGACTGGGTTGACTTTAAAAACACATCATCATTTTTTTTTATTCAGTGCCGAACTCCAAACACAGAATAGCTGCTCAGAACGAAGGAGGAAGTCATCAGAAAAATTAACTAACAAAATCCTTTTACAGTTTGACAAGATGTACTGACCCCTTTCTCACAGAAGGCCGTGGACTTCTTTTTTGTCGAAACACAGGAGCAGTGACTGATCTGGTAAAAGAAGTCAAAGAGGACATCTTCTCAGGGAACACAACGAGAACTACATATTTGTTTAACTGAATCACTCAAAAACAGTTTAGTTTATAGTTTGAATTGTATTTTAAGAGCATTTTTAGTCCTCCAACTTTTTAAATTGAGTTCAACTTAAATAAGAACAATTCAAGTCACAAGTACAAGGTACCGATCAGTTTCACATTACCAACCTCTGAGGTTTTTTACACATCTACTGACACACGTGTTTGCATGAGTGTGAGTGTGTGTGAGCGGAAATAGCACACAGTCTAAAATCTATACAGAGCTCACTTCTGTTTTGCTGCTGCAGCTGGAACAATGACGTACCAAACACAGAGTTCTACAGAAATGGAAACATCCAGATCTGTGACTTCTTCTCTTTAGTGCTGTCTGTTTATCACCAGCTTACCTGCTGCTAGGTACTTCAGCTTCTCTGGAGAGTGGAATTGGACTTGTGAAAATGAAAATAAAACATTAGATGAATGTCATGAGACAGACCAGATGACTGTAGACTGTTATTTTAAATAACAAGAGCAGACAGAGGACTCAGGTTTCAGTTATGGTAGTCAAGTTTGCAGTCGTTGTCAGCTAACAGAGATCACATTTGAATTAAGACTCGGGACTAAAATCAGTGTTTGGGTCAGGTGATGCCTTCGAGGTCAGGACATTTTCAGTTGTATACTTCTGCTGCTATACATGCTGGAGGTGAAGACCAGTTTGGACGTGAGTTTGAGTGAAGACCTGCAGTGGACACAGCTCTGTCTGTGGACTGTTAGAAATGACCACTGACAGAGGGAGACAGGACACTGCCACCAGTCCTCCCCCTACTGGGGAGATGTGGGAAGGACAGTGGTAGGAGCTTATACAGCTGCTGCTGCCACGGTGCTCGGAGACGGGTCCAACACTCAGGCCGTTAGTCCTGAGTCTGATGGAGTCTGAGGTGCTGTTGTGGGTGGACATGCGTTTACTGCCGCTGCCCTCCAGCAGCTCCTGCTGACCCAGGATGTGGCGCCGGATAATTCTGCGGAATGTTTGTCGGAACTCCCGGATTCGGTAGGCGTAGATGAACGGGTTGACCACGGAATTGGCGTGAGAGAGGATAATGGCCAGGTACTTGACAAAGGGGGAGGATGGATCACACCGAGGGCAGAAGAGGGTGAAGCAGTTGATGATATGCAGGGGCAGCCAACAGACGGCAAACAAACCGACAATGATAGCCAGAGATTTGGCCGCGTGAACTTCCTTCTGTAGTGTGGAGCGAGACTTCTCCCCGTGAACCGCCTTCAACTCCATTAGCTTGAGCTGGTGACGAGCAGCCATGAAGATGCGCAGGTATATAGCCAACATTAGCAGCAGCGGAATCAGGACGCAGCCGAAGAAGTTGAAGTAGACCATGTAATCCATGGTCACTACCTTCTCAAACAGACATTTCATCAGGCCGGGGGCGCAGGTGCTGTTGTTCATATGTGTTGTCTTTGTCGGGGTCTCCTTATGCCAGCCCATCATCGGTGTCAGACCAATAATGATGGACAATACCCAGCAGATGGCGATGATGCCTCTGGCTCGTTGACCAGTCACCAAACCATTGTACCTGATGAAGGAGAGAAAACAAACAAATCAGTCGTAGCCCCAGGGGAAACACATACTCAATGGCGCCTCCACATTGTGTGATGAATAAGGGAGTATATAGTCCTTTAAAAAGTTTGAGTACTTTACAAAATTGTATTTACATCATCAGTGACAAAAATGGTTGTTATAAATATGTTCAAATGCAAGGCACTGGTATGATACCTAGAGACTGAACAGGAGCGTGACAGGACGAGTTGAATTACAGTTGGAGCGTCCTTGGACCTTCATGGAGACCTTCTTTACTTGAGTCTGGACATGACATAAGTTTCTCTTTGGATGCAGACATAGGAAAGATGAAGCCAGGCCCCATGAATGAGCTCCCCACAATAATTTTATGAATTTTATTTTATTACTACTACAAAGGCTTTGTGAATAACCAGAGTTTGTATTTTAATTTCTGCGTGGCACCACTTCTAAACGCCGGAACTGGAAGAGGAAGGATAAACAAACAGGGTCTTCCAGAAAGAGTCTATTTTGAGTTGTCCTGCAGCACAGTGTGGGAGAGCAGCTGAGATGTTTTGGCTTCATTCAATTACATTCTTCAGAAGTCCAAAGTCCAAAGGTCAAATGCTGCAAAAACAAGACCCACATCAGGGACGCAGACAGACCTTCATGTGTCTTTACGCAAAAGGACTTTGTAGAAAAACAGGAAGACAGACTGAATCTGACCACAGCTCCCTGGTTTCAGGCGTGATGATGTCACAACGTCAATGTCGTCATGTGTGGTCTGGTTTAGGCAGCTTTTACTGCTCAGCAAATTTAAGTGTTAGAGGTGCGGAGCAGCAGTGTAGTATCTGACAGTCTGTTTATTATTTTATTTTCATTATTACATTTTTATTTGACTGTTTCTGTCCTTTCTTCACCATTAAAACAACATGGAATTGATGGCTGTCCGGGGAAACTGTCTCAGGGGAGCTGCATTTTCTGGACCCACTTTAAATGACTTGTCGTTAATGTTATGTTTCCACTAAAATATAATATTTTATTGTGTGTCCCTTGTTGCCTGGGACTTCACAAACAACAAACAAAAGAAAGCTTTACTTTAATCCCATCTATTCATGTTTCTTTATTGATTACACTGTTCAAAACACTTGACAAACCTCCTAATGTCCTGTTCTGTGTGACTTCCTGTTTTGGTTATTTATAATATTTGATTAAGTTTCAGCTAAAAATGAATACAATAAATACATTTGGATTTTGTGTGAAATAAAAATGTAGGAATTATAATCCATACACACATATTTTGTTTTTCTTATTTAAATCATAAGGGTTCCCCACCATTAACCCCACACTATTTTGTTTCTAATACTTTTTTAATTAAAAAATTTAAAAAACAGTGAATCATGTCAAAATAAAATCTAATTCCAGTGTGTCACTTAGTCTTTGGTCTAAGTAGGGCCAGTAGGAGGCAGCAATACAACTAAAAAGAATGCAGAGCCACTGTTAAGAAAAAAAGTAAAGGGTAGAGGGAGGAGTGGGATCAGCTCAGTGCTGGGCCTTGAAGGAGACTGAACAATAAAGGCTTTATATCTCTGAGAACAAAAACAAAACATTTGTGCCTCTTAACACATAGTTTAGTTAAATATTGATAAACATGCAAGAGTAAAGTCATCGAGTTTGTGTGTTAAAGCATAATCGTGTTTTGTGGCGACATGCAGCCATTGAGGAGTCAGCAGAGGGCAGTGTTCTATGACAATTGATCCCTGATTCAAACATATCAGCCACAGGGGTCCATTATTTACACCCACAGGACAGCAGCCAGTCTTCAAATCTAAACAAATGACTTGTTTTATAGGGAGCACATTTTGTCTTTCAGGATTTGACTTGTTTCGACTCTAATCAAGTTCTAGACACCTGTCTATGGTCCATTTGGAACTGAAATTTGTTCCAGCTCTCTGAACCAGATTTTTTGACCTCTGCATTTAAACAAACCATGTCAGAGTCACTAGAAGACTAAGCAGCGAGTCACTGACCTGAGAGGCATCTTGATGGCGATGTAGCGGTCTATAGCAATTGCCAGCAGGCTGAAGATGGAGCTCTGAGTGAGAACCAGCACGAAGCAGGCGATGAAGAGGCAGCCGTAGAAGTTGGAACAGAAGCCTGTGCTGATGACAATGGCAAACGGAATGGCCAGGACGCCCACGGCGATGTCGGCCACTGCCAGTGACACCACGAAGAAGTTGGTGATGCTCTGCAGATTACTGTTGAGGCAGACGGCCCAGCAGACCAGCACATTTCCCAGCACAGAGAAGCCAGCGATCAGCAGCTCCAGGATGATGTAGAGGACGGAGGCGATGGGGTCTTCAGGCATGGTGAGACCAACGCTGAGGTCACAGCGACCATCGCTGCAGCCTCCTTCTAACCTCCACCAACATCCACCACTGGCAGGTCTTCCTCCTTCACGCTTCCTTGGTTCAGCTGCACTACTGTTCAGGTCCAGACACGATGGCCTCCAACTGCTCCAGAACCAGCTCAGCTAAACTCCGGACTATGGGTTGGATTCAATTCCTTCGACAGTTCAGATGATGCCCACACAGCTAATCACAGGAACGGCGTTTCACTGTAGATGAAAAGGGGCAATAACTGAGAAATGAGGATGTGGAGTTTTAGAAATGAGGAAGTCAAATCTAACCGTAACACACACACACACACACACACACCTGTACAGTGACATAAACATACTGGATGTTAGCAGAAAGTGAAAATATTACAATGTGAGTTTTTCCAAATTAAACATTTTTTACTTTTGTATTTCTGTGAAATATTTGTCAAACAAAATGCATATTTTTTTACTTATTTTCACAACCTGTTTTTGGACAGATGTGACTAACACTTGAGTGTGGTGTACAATCCAGAAAATAATACAGTTTTTAAAAATCTTTTTAATTATAGTTATGGGACTAATGACATTCTCTCTCTCTCTGGGCCACACCTTGTGAGGGTTGTGGCCCAGATGGGGGTTGAGTTTTTATTCATATTTTGTATACTAGATCAAGGCCTGAAGAGCACCAGCATTTCAAAAGTTTGCTGGACTTGGCTTCATGTAGCTGTGTTTCTGGCCAAACTTCAGACAAGTTTATCTTCAGAGTCAACAGGCCCAGGCAGATATTTCTTATAAAACTGTACTGACGCTACACAATAGCACAAATGTGTCACAGGAGGAAAACACACATGAAAGCCACAGCCACTGAGGTAAAGCGGTGTGTTTGTGACACATGAGGAGACACTGACACAGACGTCAGAGTGTGAGCTGTTATGAAGCCCTGCTCGTCTCGTCGTCTACTCTATTTTGACAACACAGCTTCTCACTTTTAGTTTTTTGGTTTTTCACTCGTCACTCAGTCTGTTGGCATTGGCCTCCATAGTTTCAGAAATGTAGAAATCTGGTTGCGTTGTGAAATGGAATTCATTCTGTTTGTTTTAATCCCAAACACACGGTCCTGTGATGTCAGGTGTTTATCATATGCAGCATCTCCTACTGTGATTTAATGTCAGTGTTCCTCTAAATGGGATCATCATTCATTTACAACACACATGATGTCGTCTGACAAGTGGTTCAAAATGTAAAAATGTTGGCTTAAAATTTTCAATTTAAGGGTCGAACCATGAGCAGCTTCCAGGTTACCAAATAATAATTAAAAAAAAATAGCAAAGATAAAAAAAACAAACAAAAGACATGGATTATTTTTCTACTTCGGTCTGAAGCCTCTTAAGTTTAAGTATACTTTTTTTTCCAATTCTTAAGATATTTTTGTTCTCCAGACAGAGCATGATATATGTTTTTCAAGAAATAATAATTAAAAAAACAATTCATGTTACGTACTAATAAATATCACAAGTATATTTTTTATGTACTTATATTATATTTAATATGGCGTACAATCCAAATCATTAATATGTTTTTCAGACAGCACAGTGAACCTTGACCATGTCCCCAAACCATTACTGAGTTTCAGAAAGTTTTCTGTTTCTCTAACTCCTACATTTGACAGATATGACATGAAAATATTGTTGAAGACATTGTTGGCTATTTTTCTGTGAGAGAACAGTTTTCTGACAAAAAAAGCCAATTTTGTGACTGACAAATTTAAAATATTTGGATTCATATATAGCTTGAAGAGCTAGGTTAGGTCATTTGCTACAAATGTGAATCTATTTAACAAGTCATTGGTGAATAAACAATCAATGTATTGACTTATAAATGTTTCAGTCAATGTAAGGTAGCACGTAAAATCTGATGTGTTTGTTTTTGTTGATTGTTCAAGGGAATAAATTCAGACTCACCTGCACTTCTTCACTTGTTGCTTTCCCACAGATTTAAATGAAGACAACAGAAAATCCAATAAAATAAAATGATAAAAAAAAAATCCTGAGAATTTTAAAAATATATATTATTTCCTGTTCCAAGACAGTATGTGAAACTCAGAGAAACCTGCTGCAGTGATGAGGATGAAGATGGCGATGATGATTTAAGAAGACCAGAGCAGCTCACATCTGTGTCCTCAGTTTCATTACAACTTCCTCTGTGGATAAGCTTAAGACTTTCCCTCTTTTTCATACTCACACTCACACACACACACACACCCCTCCCTCATGTTTCATATCAAGAGTCAGTTTCCTCTGTAAGAGGTGGGGCTGTGTGTGTGTGTGCGCAGATAAGTGATGTGTCCACCATACACATCATTGAAACAAACTGTCTATTTACATATTTGTGTGGAGAGACAGACAGACAGACAAACGGACGGAAGATTGTCTTCAACTACTTAATTTACCTGCTCTTGCCTTACAGTAAGGAGGTTGTGAGTTCAATTCCTCTTTCTAATTGATGATCTGTTTGTATGGGGTTTACAGGTCGTCACTGTAGTTTTCACGTACTGCGGTCTCCTCCTACAATAACACATAGGAGTAAGTCAATTATTCATTTTATACTGACCGCAGGTGTGAATGCTTGGTGAAGAGTCCAGTGTGTGTGCCTGCAGGTCAAGTCCCTGCTTAAAGAATGTTGGGATTGGCTACCGCTCTAGCCAAGAACCTGGAAGAAAAAGCAGTAGAGTGAATGGATCAACAATCTCCCAGAACATCGTAGACTTTTTATTCTTTGTTGAGTCTCCTCCAGACTAGATGGTCTTCTTATCTTGTTTAGTCCACAGGTTTTACATGGGATTTTAGTCATTGTTCTGTCCATAACGGTTGCCAACATCCAGCTCGGTCTTCTGCAGAGGGCTCTTCATCTCTTTGAACCGTGTCATGCGACTGATAACAGTTTAACTGCAGTTTTTCCTTTTATCATCTTGTTTCTTGGGTGTGCAGTTATTTTTGTTATTTACTTATCTATTATTTAGTGTACTTATTTTGCCTTTAATGTATACTCGGCAAAAAGTAAATGACAGCTATATCACAAATATGGTTCTTAGCTCTTAGGATATATTCACTTGACATTCTGATAAGATATAAAATAAACCACTGAACCCTTTATTTGTACAAGTTTTTTCTTTAAATCTTTTTTTGATCTCTTCTTTCTGTAGTTTAACACATTACTTCCGTAAACACACACACACACACTGATACTCAGCCAGTGAACCTTCACACAAATGTTTTAAACTATATTTATTACTACTTCTGTCAAAAACAAAAATTAAAGCAACATAAATCCAGAAAAGCTTTATTTTCATCAACTGATTATCATCATAGTGTGCACTTAATACTGTAGCTTAGTCCCATTAACACACTCTCCTACACACATGGCATCGACTCTGCCGTGGGACCATTTAGCCCTTCCATAAGTGATCAAGACTTTTTTGTAGCGTGAACCTTTAAAGAAATAATAAAACAGGCATGGTGGAAACAAAAAGTCACTAAAGCAGGTTCAGTAAAATTCTCAGAGCACTTTCAAGTAAACTAAGGAGAAGTTAATGTAGCGTTCTATGACATGTAGCCACCAAAATCATTACGGACATGTTCACATTCATTTCACGGTGAAACCACACACACTCTCAGATCCCAGATGATGTCAGGCCTGTGCATCATGTTGAGGTGGAATGTTCTTCAGAGCCCTCAGCCTAGTGTCCTCTCAGCAGGCCGTGGCTCAGCATTCATCAATCGGACCACATCTATGCAGCACGGACATGGAAAGTGTGATCCGAAATAAAACCAAAAACATTCCCACTTCTAAGGAGGCTTCAAATCTTTCTGGAGATTTCTGATTTTTCTGTCAGGGGCCATAAAACATGGGGAGGCCAGCAGCGTTGGCCGACTATCCTCAGCGTCGTAGACGCCTCACAGAATTGGTCCACAGAGAGGTGAGGCTTTTAAAGGGCATTAAATAACTCACTCTCACCGTCTCCGTCTGTCTCTTTGCTCCACACACAGTGTCACTGCCGCAGCTTCTTGTGCTAAATTACCAGATGTTAATGCGGTTGGAGACGCCGTGGATGTTGTGGCTTAGCATGTAATAAAAAAATAGAAATTCTTGATGTTGCTCTTCGCACCACCATCTGTTCCAGATCCAAACAATCCTGCAGTCGTCTCCACCAGGCACGTGAGGAAGTTCAAGCGACATCACAAAATAGTTTATGACCACTTTTGGTGATCGTTCACGAGTTCCTCCAGAGGCACGGGGAAAAAAAAGAGGACCTTATTTTAGTCTTTCACACTCGCTTTTGCCTGGAGCAGAAAAATCAGCACAGTCCAAGGACATGTCACAGTTTCACCAGACAGAACTGTTGAAGGTCCAGTGTCACCTTTTCACCGAGACTAGTTCGAACACACCAGACAATTAAGACAGCGTTAGTGAGGAATACAAAGTAAAAAAAGCTTATGTCAGTGCAGCTACTTCTTGTCACCATAACTGTAAATAATACATTTGTATTCACTCCAAACACACACACACACACACACATTCACACAAGGAAACAAAGCAGTGACCTCACTACAATGACAAAAAAAACCATACAAATAATAAATATACTGTAGTCATCTTGGTTCAGCATGAGGCACAGTTAGTGTGAGCAGCAGTACAAGAGTAACAGCTGTGCGGATGAAGTGAAGTGTGAAAAGTGCTACCTTTTCTGACTGACACTTTAAATAATCTGACGGAGAACTTAGTCCGAAGTCACTAAGTCCAGTTCTTACAAATGCTCCTGAATCAAATCCCTCCTCAAAAATGCAATCCTTTATGGAGCTACAAAGATCTATGACTCCTCAGAATAAAGGCGTCTTTTGAAGTGAAGCTTCTCTGCTCAAAACTGAAGGTATTTAATCAACAAAGGCAATATTTACTCAAAAAATAAAATCACTGAAATCTCCTGACCATGAACACCTCTATGCCTGCTCATGAAAAATATGCAGCCTACTCATTATTGCACTCTGGTAAGGCAGACACCTAAATGGTAGTATGGTAAATGGCTATGCTAACAAAACAGACATGTAACTGTCAGACCTTCAGACAGGGACAGATTCGTCTAGAACATGGTACAAAACATGCTCTGATCGAATTTTTCATGAAAAACAAAAGATGACAAACCTAATAAACTTAAGTGTTAATGAAACATTAAATATGCAATAAATGAATATAAATACTTCTTCTAGAAAACAAATGAAATGTGTGTAGCATATGTAACGTAGAGTATGTCTCTGCTCGAAACTCCTTGAGGTTTCAGATGCCAGAGTAAAAAAAAAAGAAAACATGAAAAGACTGTGAAACGTATTTGGCAATGACCAATCAGGCACTTCATTCACTGAGGCGTCTGCATCACACTGTCACGACCTGTGCTAATTCATATTCAAAGGAAATTGTCAGGGTTGATGGGGGAAATACCAACTAATTCCATCTTATTCTGCTTAAATATAGGGGGAAACACCTTATTTGCGTAACTGACCTGCAGAGATTTAATCAGATCTGCTGGAATCTCCCTTCAACTAATGGGAAACTGAGTTAAATGTGATGGAAAATCAGCCAACGGAAAAGCAAGGGTAGAAGGCACTAACCAGGTGTCCTCCCCTCTGTGTCATCACTTGTGAAGTGAATTCTGTTGACCTTTTAATCTAACAGTAGCCATACACACATACGCATGCAAGCCCTAGTTTAGGACTGTGATGCTACACAGTGTGATGCTACAGACAGAGGGTGGAGGAGAAGCTGCTGCTGCTGCTGCTGCAGCTCTTCTGGTCTATCTTTGTTTACTAAATACTAAGGACCAGCATGCACTGCGGCAGCATGTTGCTGCAGCATGGGGGCGAAGTTCAGTGAGACGCAGTGGTGTTGAAGGATTGCCGAGGGCTGAGGAGGAGTTCGCACAGCATGGATGTGATGCTGGACAGTCAGGTCTCAAAGTACTTGTAGATGGCAGTGACGTAGGTCATGACACTCTGCCAGTCTGGTCTCTCTGTGTGCACCATCTCATTAATGTCCTGGAATAATAACAATAATAATATCAATGCAGAATATCAAACTAAGATGAACTTAGAATTATTTTTACTAACTCGTATTTACCTGGATACACAAGTGATCTTACTGTGGCTAACTTCTCTAGCCTGTGATGTTAGCCTGAGTTTTGACTTGGCCTCAGCCAATGCTAACACAAACTTAACATAATAAATCAATGGCCAGGAAGCCATTGATTATTGGATTTTATATGGATTTTTCTTTGGGTAAATTTCTTTGGGTAATTTACTCTGCCTTTGTCTATTCAAGCGCAAACAGTTATAAATCAAGTGTTCTTCCATGGAGTTTGTTAGTTGTTAGTTTTAAGAAGAAAAATGAATGATGAATTGATGAGTCAAGGTTGGGAACTTCACTAAATGAAACATAAATTTAAAACCATAGATATTTGACATATTATATTCAGAAGCTGAGATTCCACCACTGTTTTAGAGATACAGCAGGAAAACAGTTATTTTAAATTTAGAACCAAGACTGCAGACAGGAAACTCCGATCTTTAACAGATATTCAAGCACTATCATTGTTAGAATGTAGCTTCGGAAATCTGCATCTGCAGCAACAACAACAAACCTCGTCTTTGAATTTTTTTTTTTTTACAAATATTTATAGCAAGTCACTGTATGGAAGTTGCTTGTACTCCCACAGTGTGTGTGTTGTGTGGCTGTAGGTAAAACTTTATCTGGCCCTGGTGCCAGATAAAGTTGCAAAGGATAAGGCAGCTGAAAATGAGTTAAATGATGAAAATAGGATTCATCGTCTTCACGTTTTCACTTCATCAGTTGAAGAGCTTTAGTGCATAAACACAGCGGCTCACTTAAGACACTCACTCACAATCAGCAGCTGCACTGCTCAGGGTTTATTTAGATTATGAACGAGCGATGAGACACACAGTATGATAAAACAAATATATCACTGACTCTCACCCTGCCTTTTCCACTTCGATTCCAGATAGAGAGATAGATAGAACTTTATCTCAGACGTTCCCTTTGGGAAATTAAGGATTGTGTTTTCACCATCTTTTCAACCCTGGCTCTTCCTCAGCTCTGCTCATGTCTAATTCAGTTTAAACTGTGTTAAATATAAAATATAAATCTATATAATTAAAATATTTGATGTCAAGATTATGAGTCTAGAATGCATTATTTACCCCGACAGACACAGGGATATTCTTTAGTTAAGTGAAAGTTATACATTAGTAGATTAGTACCCTGTAATCTCTGTGTTGTATTTTCCAATGAAACACTCCCAGGACCTGGACCAGGATCAGGCCTCTTCTTTTAGCTATGACTACCGACTACAAACAAACTCAATTGTTTTTGATTGATATTGACACGAAAACTCACCAAAGTGCATTTGATTCCCACACTCTCCGCGGCCTGGAAAGCTAAGGTGAAATTCCTCCTCTGAAAGACGAGAAAGAAAGAACATGATGTAGATGAGACAGTCTGAACAAATCATATATCATTTGAGTTCTTAATTGAAACCCTTTTTCTGCACTTAAACTCTAGTTACATTTAAACTATATGCTTAAAAATGTGCATAGAAAGATGTTCACAAAGAACCTCTGATCACACATGTCAACTTTCTAAATTACTGTTACTAATACTATTACATTTAAATAAAACAAAAATAAAATGCTGAAACCAACAGCGTAAGTCTGTTCCTACGGTCGATGGCAGATAGAATTGTCCAGGAGCAAATTATTTATATTATTTTTAAGTGCTAGAATTCCCAACACTCACCTTCTCTTGTCCGGTGAGCTCCTGGTAGGGAATGTGAGCAGGCAGGTATGTGTGCAGCACGGCACAGAAGGCCAGGCCGTCGTTCCAGCTGCTGCTGAAGTTGGTGATATCTATGTTCTGAGGAAACATGAGTTTACACTTTGATTTCTAGGGAAAGTGAAGACGGTGACCCCTGCAAGACTCCAGATTCCAAATATTATTTCAAAGAAACAAATGTACCTGTCGTGGAACTATCTATAAATAAAGTATGTATTGTTTTAACTTTTCACTTTTATCTACACTCCCAGAAAAAAAATACATCAGCACGACTCATCGCATTAACATCTATTATCTTTTCCACCATCAGTGTGACCTTTAACAAAACCAACGATTTACATCAGTGAGGCCATATGTGACGCAACGCTCCAGTCTCCGGGCTATCACTACTATCATCTATACCGTAAACATGGCAGTTGTTTTTGTCTGCCAGCCATCACACAAAGCGCTAAATGTTGCACACTTCCTGGAGAAGACCTCAGGTGCCATGGCTACCACAACCGACACCATTTAAAAGGGGTAATCATCACTTTGGTGTGGTCATCACTCCAGAGACCAACTCCCTCATCACACAGGTCATTTCTGAGGTAATGTTGAGACATTTATAGTTGTTTTTATGCCAGGAAAGAGGTTAAACTGCTGATATGACATATGATCTGGCCTAAAAATAAAAAGGATCATAGCTCTTCTTGTCAGAAAGTAAATTATAGTTTTGTTCTCATTTAGAATTTTTTAGTTATGTTTATATTAGAATTTGTTTCTCTACCAATAACAGGTCTTGTTCTTATGGCCAACACTATACCTGACAATTCATAATTTTTTTATTCTATTTATTTTCGATTTTAAAAACAAAAATACATATTGGTTAGATGTAGTTAATAGAATTCTAATCCATCTTTTCATCTGATTCTGGGTCTGACCCCTGCATGAATTGGAGCCAACTCGTTTGCCAATGACACATCAATGTTAGTGAATTTATTTGACATTCTTTGGCTTGAATCAAATGATCAGACAATTATAAATAACTTTATTGTTTATAAATATTATTATTATTATTATGTATGTGGTTAATTCTCATTTCTGTGCATGTCTTATCCTTTCTGTCAACAGTCACTAAAAATCTGATAGAACCAGTCAACATGGTTAATACACAGAGGTGACATTAACTTACCTGGTAGCCCTCGGTCTTTTTTTGACACCACTTCAACAAAGCATTTCTTTTAGATCCTCCGTACTCTCGCGCCAGTGCTGACAACGGGTCCTTTCTCTCCTCTCTGGTACAGAACAAAAAAACCCAATCAAACACTGACATTTCTATTACACCTATTGTTGTTTATGGAAAAAAATGTACACATATCTGGCAACCCCAGAAATATCCTGGTGCACGACTCACAATTTGGGAGTTTGTTCTATTTAGCTTTAGATATCAGCACCGTTGCTTGGGAAAACCCATAACTCAAGATTATCTATCATGTCAAATGGACCACTGCAGTATGACACAGACTAAAAATTAATTTTATTTATAGTTGTTGTTCTCTCGGCTCCCATTGCTGTTTCTCAATGGTGGTATTAATGGATGACAAACGATGCAACTAAACATCCAGCATCATAATCAGATCAACCTTTTTTTCCCTCTAGAATCATAAGACAGAGGATGTCAGGGTGACCGCTGGAGAAGGTCCAAACATCTATCTGTGGCACATAATTGAGGTTCATGACCTCAGGCTCAGCACAGACTATGATATATTATCCTATTGTTTGCCAAATTATATAAATATGCATGTAAAATATATTTTTACATATAATAATAATCATGAGGGCTGTCAAAGTTAAGACAATAATTGTGTTAATTATTTAGTTAATTAATTAGTCAAATCAATCCTCCTCATATCTCATTTTAACACACTGTAAGGGTCTGTAGACTGTAGACTTTACCAAAGTTTAAAATGCAACTCTCAACATGCTCAACAAACCACCATGTCACCACACAGTAATGACTAAAATCCACCTTCTTCAGGAAAAAATATATTTTGTAGTGAAAAAAAGTTTTGTCATATTTAGCCATAAATAACTATTGTAAAGAAATTAGTCATTGCTAAATTGTACAATATAGAAATCGCAACAAAGCAAAATTTCTGATCGGCCTACAATCCAAACTTTGAGCATTTGTCAGAGCTGTACCTCAGACGACTTCGAGTTGTGGGAGTGATAGAGGCAGTAGGTGAGGAGGACAGTGAGAGTGGAGATGAGGCTGCGCTGATACCCATCAGGGAGGATGAGGAGGCCACATCTGGAGCTGACATGTCTCTCTTTATCTCCTCACTGCTCCTGCGGGACACTGCTGTAGAAATGGCAAACCGTTGAACTTTTACTCAGCATCTGACAGTAAAAATAAAACATCACTGAGGCATCCCTAACCTGAGATTGCCTTACTGGAATCCATGTTGGAGACCCTTTGAATAACAGATGGAGGTCTGCTGGCTGAGCCGCCCCTGAGAAGATGCTCAGCTGTGGACGCACACACACGAAAACAAACATAGCACAGGATTTACATCAGGCAGAGTGTTTCTATACGGCATTTCCTGTGAACTGAGCGGGGTCAAATAAAGCCACATTCCAGGCCCCCAGAGTTGCAAGAATACCGACGCACGAGGAGGAAAGAAAACTATAAATCAGTGAAAAATAAACCCATCATGGGAAGTTACACTGGATTCTGCACGTTCACATGCAGCACTTGAACTCATTATTGGTGAGAATGAAACTGAGGGCAGTTCTACAGAAAGTGCTGCCTCATTATTTGCTGCTTATCATCCTTAGCTCTCGTGTTGTTTTAATGAAGAAATACCATAACAGTTAAATCTGCTGACTCTTAATATCAGCTAAAGGAGGGTGGGGGAGGGGGCAGCTTCTTCATTTCTCACAAAAGGACATTCAGTCATGTGAGTGGTATGATGTTCTGTACAGGAACTACAGCTAAGGAAAACCGAAACACCTCAGCACTGAAGCCTTTGGCTGTTTGTACTGTAGTAGTGTTATGATCATTTCAGTACACTACAGTGACTTAAAACCACTCCAGTAATGGCTTCTCACCTGGCATACTGATGTCAGTGTAGCTGGGCCTCTTATCACTCAGTGAGGACAGAGGCTTAGCTGCAGACATGGACCCAGAAATGGAGGAATGTCTCTGCAAAAGAAAGATTTTTTTCCTTATTAATGTATGTTACTTACATTGTAACAGATCAAATATTGTCGTGGTAGCTTAAAAAACACAGAGATTTTACACCCCATTATCAAACCTAAGCTTCGTCTCCACAAAGTAGTGCTTCCTTTTCGTACCTGTATGGGTGAAACTGCAGCAGCCGGTGGTGTCTTCATGGGGCTGGGGCTGAGCGGAGTTCGTGGGAGTGGAGCAGCTGTAGCTGTTGGAGTGACAGCAGCACTGGTGGTTGATGGACCTTAGGGTATAACAGGAAAAAAAACAAACACAAATAACTTCTACTGCCTGTGTCAAAACTATCCCATAGATTTCACCTGTGTAGAAAGGAAATGAAGAAAATGAATATCTATGAATGACTATTGAAGTTCTTGGTACCTTGTGAAGCACTATCAAAGCTCTTGATGAGTGTTTTGACAGTGGGAGAAGGTTCAGAGGAGGTGGAAGAACGTCGACTGAGACCCATCCCCTGTCTGAGAGCAGCCAGGTCTCTCTCCACTGCATTCATGTAGTTATAGACTCGGCCTCTTTCCTCCTCCTGCCTGGAAAGTGCACAGCAGATCAACACAGTTTGGACAGGTGGAGTCAGAATTAAGTAGGGAATCAGGTGAAACGTTTCTGAACAAAAAATGTCCAGCTGAACCTCTGTAGCACACACACACACACTCATGTCTTCAACGTAGCATAGTTGAATGGTGGAAAAATGGTAATATTCAACTCTAGTTATCTAAAAATAGACAGAAATACCTCAAGAGCAGCTTATATTTTTCCAACAATATCTAAAATATACCTCAGAATTAGTCAAAAGATCAAAAGTCAGCAAAAAAGTATTGTCCATAACATCATCATTAATGTCTGTCACAGAAAGTTTCCTGTTGTGATATTTATAGAAGACAAATGATAATCCATTGTGAAACAAACAATTATACCCTTCCTTTTTTTGTTTGCATCAGAAAGACAGGATGAGCCGGTGTCAGCGTGACTTGCTGAAACAAGTCCAACTGTCCATCTGTGGCTCTTACTTGCGGCTCTTGACCTCATCCAGCTCTTTGCTCAGCTTCTCATTCTTCTCCTGAGCTTCCTGTAGCCGGCGCCGCAGATCTCCAATCTCCTCTTGTGCTTCCGACTTGATGTCATTAGCAATGACTACGGCCGTCTGCAGGTCAGCCTGAAACTGACGCCACTCCATCGACTCCTCCTGAGGACGGACGGACACACACACATACACACACCCACACACACATCAGAGGTGAACATTATGCTAAGTCATAAATTAGTTAATTTGTTTTAAGTGCATTTTGGTCACACTCTAGTTCGCAGGGTTGATGGGAAAATGGGAGAGGAAATTAAAACAACCAGATACGGGCATCCGACACATTTCATAGGTCTGTTTCAAACACTTTTTGGATCTATATTCAAACCTTTTAATTCTGTGCTACACTAATCCACTTTATAGCTTATAGGCCTTTGATGATGCCTTGGACACATATGGCTACTGTTACAGCATACACATTAAAACCCATTGCTGAAACATGTGATAGGAATGTGCACTGCCATCCCACTGAAAGTCTATTTACCCTCAGTCTGCGATGAAGAATCTTAATCTCTCTTTCCATGTCATGCTTGTTGTCCTGTAGCTTCTTCACAGAGTCTAAGATAAAAAGAAAAAGTAATCAGCTACAAATAAAAAAACAACACATGCAAATTTTCAGTTTACAGTGAGATTTAATCTACAGAGGTAGTCGTTTGCTTTCTTCCCAGATGCTGTTTTTTTTTTGTCTAGGCATAAAATAATCTTTTATAATTTTTTTTCCTGTGGTGCAGGAGAAACAACGTAACATGAGAATAATTGAACTTGGTGCAAGCACTCAGCACAAATGACAGGCACAGCAGAGGTTTTTTAATGATCCCCTTTATGACAGAGTGCTAGGGGAAGTTAAAAAGTCCCAAAATGGATTGAAACAAAACTTAATTTATGAGAATAACAAAGTTGAATCTTTACATTTCCTTCACTTAGGCATTGCAGTGTCTGCCATTGCCAATTCCATCAGAGAATTGCAGAATGTTGTTTGGACCAAGTCACAACCTGCTTCTGAGCCTCAACTATGAACTGAAATCTGGTTTCTTTTTCATGATCATCTAAGCATTAATGTCAGATTAAAACGGTGGTGAGTTCTATGAACATACCTACAGCAAAGCTACAAAAACTTGAACTTGAAGTTTCCTTGTTCATTTATGAGTCAAACACCTGACAAAGACATAAAGATAAAAGTTTGATAACTTAAATAAAACACAGAAAAAAAACCCCATCTGTCTTAGAATGTTCTTTTACTTGTAGTACAATGACAAAGCTGTCCTAAATAAATAAAGTATTCTCTGAAAGTGGTATTAAAACTTCATGCTGAGTACAAAGGTACTTGGTATGTTTTATAGATGCGGCCATCTTTTGATGTTTTGATCTGTGACCCAACAATTTCTGAATACAACTCATATCAACTACTTAATCCAGACTTGGGACCCAGTATTAAGTCATGACCCAAATATTGGTGTGAGTCATGACTCACAGTGTTACACATTGTGCTTCAACTGCACTCACTCTCCAGATCTGTGATGATGAGGTTGTCGTGGAGTTTCAGAGCTCGGTGCTGCTCCACCTCATCCTCTAGCTCGAAGATGGTCTCCTTCATGTCTGCGATCTCAGTCTCTTTCTCTTGCAGCTCCATGCGCAGTTTCTCTAAAGTACGCTCCTGTTCGGACATCTGCTGACGCACCTGTTCCTGAAACTCCCTGTATTCTCTGTCCAGCTGCACACACACACACAAACATGACTATTTAATTATCCACAAACTTCATTATTAGACTGATGTAAATATACAGATGGATTTCTTAATTGTATTTCTGTAGTATTATTGTGTCGAGAGTTGCACTAATGAAATAAGGACTGATGAATGATTTTGAATTTTTTTTGTGATTTAAATAAATACAATGGTTTATTTTTTCAATGCTTGTTGAATTAAAGTACTAAAATCTATTTATTATAAATTACTACGAATAACTGAAAGTAAAAGGTTGCGCATGATTGTTGCGGCGCAAATTATTATTAAATACAAATGACCATTAATAAAGTCATTTCAAAACAGATTAAAGAGACAAAAATGAAATTAGAGGACAGACAAATAAAAACCAAAGCCTAGTTTTCACAAGCAGACAATTAAGAGCCCTAGAAAGGTTGCTGATCAACTTGGAAAATACACAATCTCTGAGAGTGTAACACACTTTTTCAACTAACCTTATTGAAAGTCTCCTGTAGGCGGCTGAGTTCATCGTGAGCCTGCTCTAGCTCCTCCTGCATTTTTGCAGCCTTGGCCTCGGCCTCCTCCTTCCCCAGACGAACACCTTCCAGCAGCTGGCAGATATCATTTTTGTCCCCCGCTGTGTGGAGAGAGTAGAGCTCCGCCACCCTCTGCCTCTCCTGGTCCAACTGGGCTCGGCAGCGGCTAAGTTCCGCCTGGTCGTTGCTCACCGCTACCTTGTACTCATCCAGTGCTGCTGCCATGGCTAAGCGATCCTGTCTCTCTGACTCCAAGGTGCGCTCCATCTTGTGATTCCTCTCTTTTAGAGCTCCTATCATCTCCTGGGCCTCGGCATTGTCCTGTTCTGCCATCTTGAGTGTGTTGGACAGGTGTTGCTGTACTCCCAGGAGTTGTTCCCGCTCAAAGCGGGCATTATCTGCCAGGTCTGCATAGCGCTGCTCCAGCTCCATGTAGCGCCCACTCTTGATGTCCTCTTCTAGGACGTATGAAATGTGGTGGTCATCTAGCAGGGAACGAAGGTACTCAATCTGGCGGCCATAAAGCTCCAGTTTGTCACTCTGCTGACAGAGAGAGTCCATGAGGATGACCTTCTCCTCACCAAGCCGCTCATTCTCACCGTTCAGCTCCTGCGTGATTTGCTGCAAGTCGGCAAGTTCCTGCAGTGTTGCCTGGAGCTCCTCTGCAGTGCTGTGCTGGTTCTCTTCCATCTGGTGGATTCGCTCCGTCAGACAGGCAACAGACACTTCACTGGTGTTGCCACTGCTGCCCCGACGTGACCGCTCCCTGCTCGGTGCACACTCTGACTCTGAAGACGACGAGGCTCCGGACGGAGCATCCAAAGCATCGTCACTGGAGGTGACAGCCTGATACACCTCACTGGATTCACTGTCAAGGTTATCTGCAGAGCCGCCGTGTTGTTGTCCTGTGAGAAGATCCTCCAAAGAACCAGGAGCAGAGCCTTCTACAGAGGAGGTCAGTGTACCTGTGCCTCCACCATCACTCTGTCCACTGCATGCTGCCAGGTCTGGACTAAGGGAACTATAGTTAAAGAGCTTCTCAGAACTGTCCAACCTCTGCTCCAGGGAGAAACCTAGAGCATTGAGTCTGTCCTTCAACATGCGGTTCTCGCTCTTCAGAAGGTTCAGCTCCTCTCTGATGGCCTGGTTCTGCTCCTGTAGAAGAATAAGAGTGGACTCCACATCTGCTGCTGTGATAGCTGAAACATGAGGCTTCTCTTCTTGACCAACTTCTTCCTGGGGTTCGACTTCTTTCCCCTGCAGACCCAGCTGAGCCCTCATGTCCCTCAGCTCACTGCGCAGGTGTAGGATCTCCACATCTTTGCTTTTAGCCAAACTTAACAAGTCTTTAACTTTGACCTCCAGAGCCACTTTATCACTGATCTGACCGTCTGATTTGGATTTGCTCATACGACCCTCAGACTCTGTAAGGACTTGGTTGCGTGATCGTTTCCCAGAAGCCACATCACCCACTCCAGACCCAGACACCAGCTGCTTCTTTGTGGCTGATGTTCTGGAAGTACGAAGGCGGTCTCGTGTTGAACTTGGCTCTTTGGAAGTTGATGATGTTGTACGTTTAGGTGAAGTTCCTGGTGAAAAGGAAAAACAAACACTTATTAAAAAAACCCAGTATGAAATACTGAATGAAAGTATAAAAAGTAAAATCTCAAATTCACCTGAAGTTGTCTTTGACTTGTTGTTGTCTAAACTAGTAGCACTGGTGCCAACTGCTCTTTTGGTCTTGGTGACAGCACTACTTGATGCAGGACTTCCACCAGCTATAGCTGCTAGAAGATCGTCATTGCTTTTCACCTGAAAGCAAAGACATTCCGCAACCCCCAAAACAACACCAACATATTAGCTCCTATTCCAGTGGTTCTCAAACTTTCTATACTCTGTATCACCTGAGAAAACATTGATCTCTCTGAGTACCACCATGATGACCAACATTAGAATTCCCCTGCTCGTACCACGTTCAACTTGCAAGTGATCCCATGATTCCGTGCTGCCTGTGCTTACGTGAGCATCAGACTTACACTGTAGCAAAAAAACAAGTAAATACCGTATTTTCCGGACTATAAGCCGCTACTTTTTTCCAGGCTTTGAACCGTGCGGCTTATACAAAGATGTGGCTTTTCTATGGATTTTTCTCAGGATGACAGTGACAGGAGCAACACAGAGACACTAAAAAGATTTGTGACAAAGTTTTTCTGAGGCTGTTCACCTCCGACACTAAAGAAGACGACTTCAGCGATTTCAGTGCGCAGGAGGAAGATGAATAAAGCCATCAATTACATTTCTGTTTTGTTCAATCAGCACTTTTACTGCCGTGTTACAGGCACTGTTCGGAAACAATCAGTTCAGGTATATAAATAGACATTTACGGTACAAAATCTTTCTGTGTTCCTGTGTATCCAGTAAATATCTAATTTCTCAACCTTAGCGGCTTATAGTCCGGTGTGGCTTATGTATGTAAATTTATAGTTGTTGTTTTTTTTTTTTTAACTTAGTGGGTGCGGCTTATATTCATATAAGGTGCGCTATGTAGTCCGGAAAATACGGTAAATAAAAAGACCACACATCCCATTTCATAATCTCACAAGTAGCTACACATTTTCTCTAAATGTTGTTTTAATTGTGCATGGTATGTTTTTCAGATTTTTTCAATTAAAAATGTAAATGTAAAAATATGAATTTTCATGTACCACTGGTGGGATGCATACCACAGTTTGAGAACCACTGATCTAGAAATATGCTACTGTTCAGATGCATCTCTGCATAAATTTAGTGCCCTTGTCATCGTTTAATAAAAAGCTAAGAGAGAAGTCTAACTGTGCTCAACATTATCCAATGATGAGTTGTACCTTAGACAGAGGGGCTATAGTGCTGGTCTTGGTGGCAGGTTTTCCTGTGCCAGCGGTGGATGTAGCTTCAGCCTTCCCTCGATCTCCTCCCACCTTACTCACCCCTGGCCTCACCGACTTCTTCATACTGAGATCTCTGATGCCGACACATCTAAAGCCTGATCTGTGCACAAACAAAAGACAAAGGAAAAATGCAATGTTGAGTGATGGCTCCAGTTTTCCATGAAAAAAAGTAGAGAAAATTCTATAAAGTTTCAAGAAAACAGGGACAGGTCTACAGGTTACTGTTCTGTTAATATTTCTATAATGTAATATTTATTTTTTTATTAAGTCACCTTTAAACTTTTGTCTCTCACATGTGACTCATTTTGTCTTCAGTGCAGATACATTTGGTAGCTGTTAAGGCAGCAGTAGGACCACCCCAGACACAGGAATGTAATGGGAGGACTCCACAGGGCAACAAATGTCACCACCAGATGGCTCTCGTGTGTTTGTAATACTGTAGTCAGTGAAGCCCAACAGTGCATTAGAATTACTACAGAGGAAAAGATTCAGTTTTATCTTTGTGCGTGGCTGCATTGATTCGTGTTTATTTATTTACAGAGGCAAATTTATTTACAGAGGCAAATCGAGCAGGAGAGCCCAAATAAGGCAAAGTTGATTTCCATTCACCCACATCAAAGTGAACGCCTAAACTGTTACAACTGTCCACCCTCATATTTTGTAGGGCAAAAGAAAAATATGAGGATGTTTCTGTCCAAGCTCTCATAGTACTCCATTTCATTTGTCACTGCCAGGGAATCATTCAGTGGCATGTTTGTAGGAGATGTGTTTACACTGGGTTGCAATTACTGTTACCTTGTTTAAACTCAAGACCCAGCACACAAACAGTAATTACAGGAGGATTAGTTTTGGAGTGCTACGGTTGAAAATGAGTATTTAATCATCACAGTTTAGAAAAATTGTCCCCAATACAGTAGTGGACAAGTGTGTGTAGCACAGCACCGACACAAGTGAGGGAGCGCTCATTGCTGGTTGTTGCTGAGTGCAAATGAGAGTGGAGGGGGAGTGCGGGAGGGGCCTGTGTGTGAAAGTGATGGAGGCAGAGCTGAAAGGCTGAATATGTTTAGGTAGGTGTGAACTTGGGGCCAAGTACAGTATTGTAATTTTTACACAAAATGAACTATATTGATACAAGAGATATTCTCCTGTTATATATTGTTTAGAAACCCCTAACCAGAACTATTTACTTTTGTCACACTTTTCAGGGAAATATTATGAAGACCAATGTATATTCCTATATGCAGCAGATATCGGTGGGAAGCCTGCCGATAATTTATGTTCATTTGGCAGCATATTCTTTTTAAACCCCCTGTATAAAAGACAGAAGGTTATATTTACTGTCCACATATTAAAGTCGGAATATACTGTGATTTGCTGCTACAATAGCAAGAAAAGTGAATTTGGATCCAGCTGGAGACAAAGAATAAGCACTTTAGCATAGACTTGGATATTTCTGAGTTCTCACAGGAGGAAAAAGTGAGCTGAGGTGATTTATTCTTCACAGGAGACCCTGCTCCCAGTCAGTGCTCTTTTTAGTTTTCCTAAGCAGAGGGTTGTTGTGTGGATAAAGAAAAAAAAAATCAATCAGATATCAACAGTAAAAGAGCTTTTAAAGGGAAACTGTAAGATGTTGTCCAATGTATAGTAGCAGCAGCATAAACGTTTTGACAAGTCAATGACTGAAACCATTCCGGGAGTTTGAGCTGGATAAATACACACAGAAAAATTAAAATCTGATACAGCCAGAGCGGGGAGTTGGTACTAGAGGTGGGGGATCAGCACATTTCTGAGTCACATGCTGTGAATTTTCTCCCTCCTTATTCTTGCGAAAAATCCAAAACAACCTGCTATCAAACCACAACCGTGCCTCAAAAGTGAATACTACAGTCTTTCATTTCAACTATTTCCTCTCTGCAGGCGTCATATTACATTCGTCATTCTCAGCCCCCTTCTTCTGCACTTTAATTCATGTTTGAGTGTTTATTTGGATTCTTAGTTTTGCTACAGTAACCTTTGCCCCTGATAAGATAAGACATAATTCCTCCCACACCGGGGAAATTCACTATTGATGATGTAAATACTGAGAGTTGGGCTTAAGTTGATTCAACTGAACCACATAAACAAACACTGGCTTTGCCTTACGAGTCAAAGTTTGAGGAGATGATCAAAGCCTGAAAAAAAAAGAAGTGAACATTGTTTTTAATACACTACCATGAGAACAATGACACGCTGCACTCCTGTACAACAACATTAAACACTAACGATTGCACAGCTGATTGTAGTAAAAAGCAATTACACATTTTTGGGTATATGTTTTTAAGCATGAGTATTTGAATACATAGATAGATACCAGTCTATGTTCCTACCCACAATTATGGTCATGAACTATGGGATGTTAAAGCTCCAGCTTTAACATCCACAAGCAGTTCATATTTATTCCCTAATCCAGGAGCAGCCAGCTAAAATTGGACAGCCATTTGATTAGGATGGTCCAGGACACGCTGGAGTAAAAACATGGAAGGTGGAAATGTCGGTGAAACCTGGACAGGGACCCGAATAAGTGGAAGATGATGAAAACTTTTCGATTTTCAGCATCCAATGAAAATTATTTAGTTTTAACCAAACAAAAAAGCAACATGAATGAAAAGGTTAACGAGCAGAATGGAAAACAACAAGTTGTAAAAAGATTGAGCAATACATTAAAAAACAACCAAGATAGTAGACAGAGGATAAATGATAGAGGTGAGGAACAGACAAAAAACAAGGACAACTTGTATTATCATAACGGAATTATTTGGAATTAAACCCAAGTCCTTCTAGCCAGAAAAAAACCCAATGTCAGATTTGAAAACCATGAAAACGCCACAATAGAAATGATCACTCCCCCCACTCCCCGTGGTAATAACCTAGTTTACAGCCTCTTGGTCCATGCCCTACTTTATAGTAGTTGCTTTTATACAGTGAGTTTCCACTCAACGTCGACAGGTTGCAGACATAACTTTTTATTATTATTTTTTTTTAAAAATATGTAGCCACAGCACTACTCTAAAAGCAGATCAACTCTGCCATACAACCCACATCTCTAGGTTCAGTAAGTGTAAGTTTGGGAAGAAAGAATTGCTGAAAATAAAGTTTGAGTGCTACAGTTGTTGAAAGTTCACAAGGTGATGTGTCATCACTTATTGATGAAGAACTGATTGCAAAACGCACAAAGTAGGCAAGCTCATTAGCCAAGGACAGATGACCAATCACACACCAGTAAATGTCCAGCAAGCATTTATTCTCATATTTTGACCAAATCCAGTCATTATTTTATTTGGTTTCCATTATCGGAATAAAAACGTTTATAATTAGTGCGTTATTATGGTCATATCGGACATTCCTACTATTAGTATTAAAATAGAATCCTATAGTTTAAAACTAAAATTAAATTTCTAAATCTGCACACAGACAAAGTTAATACAACTTTTGTTTTCTTCCACAACCTTGGGCGTTAACTTCATAATTTCATGAGCATATTCTTTCTACAATAACTTGAAAAGCGATGCCTTTCCATCTATTCAGTCTCACGCCTATCAGTGAGCTACTGGTGTAGTCTCCGTTTCTTTGCATGCATTCACTTATCCATTACACAGATGTTGGAGTTGTGCAGGGCGTTTTCTCTGAGTACTGACATGTGCTCCCAGCAGTGAGCCAGTTTTGAATAGCTGAATATGTGTCAAAGCTCAAAGCATAAGTATGTAAGACAGAGCTGCTCGACGATGGAGTGAAAGTCTTTCAGAGGATTTATATAGAGATACAGTACAATAGAGCGGAGGATGAGAACTAACAGACTAACAAACACAGCCAGAGACCTTTTGCTTTGACTGTTAAACAAACATGCATTTCACTATTAAACAGTACATGCCCTCTGATAAAATTCTTACTTTTTCAGGGCAACAGTTTTTACATATCACAGATTTATTGACAATAGCTTGTCACTGCCAGTTCCCATCATATTCTTCTAACGGTGCTGTGGTTCACATCTGTGATGAATTAGGTTGTTTTTAAACAAAGCAGCTGTAACTTTTCTGCTGACTCCTTAGGTAAAACTTTTCAACCCTGGTTTAAATATGGCCTCTATCTTTTTGGATGTCAGTGTACAATCAAATCTTCAGGTTTTGCTCACATTTGGGGGATTGACATTACCCTTAATGTTAACCGTTCATCTTCCAAGCTCAGGTGGGACAACAATTGTTGCACTAACAGGGCAAAAAACAATTGAGTTTGCTCCACTTAGTCCAAGATGCAAGCATTTGCTTTAGTTAAAGATAAAAAATAAAAATAATTAAAAAAAAACACTTAAGGATTCCTGGCGCACGGAAATTAATAAAAACAAAACTCTATTTATAAATAAGACAATGTCAAGTGAGGTAGTACATTGTTAAAAATAATTCTAGAAATTTATGTAACATGGCCTGAGAATGATGAAGCCACCTCTTCCTCACTGGGTCAGAAGCCAAAATCACTGGCCCTGTTTCTAATGAATAGAACTGAACACTATTTGATTACAGTGTTAATGAATGCATTGGATCCATTCCAAGGCTCTCCAAACAAACAAGTGTGCATTGTGCTGCGCTGCAAAAACTGAACAAAGCAAAGCTACCAAGGCTGCAGAGGATGAAGAAGAAAGTGTTGAGGAGGACGAGGTGGGGGAAGTAGTGGTCTTGTAACTCATAAATATCCCCCTTACTTACACTACTTCCTTATTTGTGCTTTAACTGGGCGAAGGCTCTTTCTTACGATAACAACTACTTCCTGTGGTGGCGTCTCCCATGAAGGAAAAAAAGTAAAATCCACAAAGGTGACTGTGTATGGACGAGGCAGCACCAGTCTGCCTGAGACAGAGCAGACACTGTCAACCACTGAAATTCATTCATCAAAATATCTGCCTCAGGAACAACATGGGGGGAATAAATCCTGCCAAGATGTGATGATGTAGCATTTGAGGTGAAGTGAAGAAAGAATGTTACTATCACATCACATCAGCATCAGTCTCAGAATACCTTAGACTTGTATTATACTATATTTTTATATATTTATCTTCTATTGTTAGCATACAACCAATAAACAATACTGAAGTTTGCCAAAAAAAGAGCAAAAAACAGACCACCACTAAACCAGTGGTTTGCAAAGTGGGAGCACCTCAAAAAATTGAAGAGACGATAAGAAGAAAAAAGAAATTTCAACATTTCTTATCACGTTTGTCCTGAACGAGCACCTGTTATCAAGCTGCTAGCATTTAGCTGACTAGCACATGTTTGTTAATATTATTTGTGAAAGTGAACTACTTGTCATTGTGACACAACACACAGTGGGCAGCTTTAAGAGGAGTGTGTGGGGACAGTGCCATGCTCAGAGCACCTCAGTGGTAACTTGGCAGCTGGTGGACTCAAACCTGAAGCCTTCCGGACCCAAGTCTGCTTCCTTTCCACCACCACTGCCCATTATTTATACTAAACAAATGTAACATTCATGGAATAGTGAATAAAAGTCAAAAATAAAATTCTAAAAGTTAATGCTCCCTGTCCAGAAGCTAATGCTGTTTGGAGGGTCGGGGGGGAGGGGGGGGATCTTTGCATGGAAAAATTTGGGAACCCCTGCATTAGACCACAGTCTAATGGTTTCAAATTTCACGGTCTGTTAATGTTCCCACCCTCAACTTTGGTTATGGCTGAAAGAACAAGAGTGTAAATTGGTTTCTTTTGCAGTTTGGTCTAGACTTAGGCTGAAACATGGCTCAGGTACTTAGACATCCAGGAGATGCCCAACCTAGAGTCATTTTAGTCAATGCCCTTACGAAGAGTCAGCTAAGGTGGTAGAGGCCTTGAGTCTGAATGCCTCCTGGACTCCCCCTATAAGAGGTGTCTCGGGCGTGCCTGAGTAAGGTAGAAAAAGCCTACTGTATAGTAGCTGACTATGACACACTTAAGGTGTTGGTGTTAGTTGCTTGGGAAAGTGCTGTCTGGAACTCCATACTGAGGCAGATCAGTAAAATCTATGTTAAGGATTACAGCAAAAACAAAGCACAATTCACCACAAAGTTGTACATGAATGTGATTGTTTGTAATTGTATTTCCCTGACACCAGCTTCATTACATGAGAAATAGGACCTACTCTTTATGTAATGTGTCTAAGGAAATGTAACCAACTCTTTACACACTTTCATTCCAGTCTGGTCTAGTAGGACTAAATAAACCACATTGTCAAAATATAGGGGGTTGACGCATTTTCATAACTAAAACCAAATAATTTGAAAAAGGCAGAAGTATTTAACTAATAACTTAAAAGATATAGGGCTATGCATATAGGTAGAACTGACCTAAAAAGAAAGGAAAACATACAAAGCATTTGCAATTGTACAAATCAAGAAGTGCATGAGACTAAAACGAGTGACTGCTTATACATTTTTAATAAATATTAAGGCTCCTCGATGAGCAGCATGTTAATGGTACCTCTCCCTAAATCAGTAGCAAAGTTTCCAGGACCGGATAGTTTTGCTGAAAGCAGTGCAAAACTAAAAGCTGAGCCAGATGGAACAATCTCTCAGTCATATCTCCAAAACACTGTTTGATGTGAATCACTGACTTCTCCAAACTCTTCCAGGAAAACTGGACGACATCTGTGGTTACTTCAAGAAAAAAAAAAAAAAACACAACAAAAAAACAAAAACAAAACAAAAAAACAGATGGTAAAGTGTGTAGGAGTAAAGTGTGATTTAGTAAAACACAAAAACACAAAAGAGAAAGAGGGAGGAAAAGGGTGTATGTATAACCTGTAAGTGTCCGGACCACGAGTCCAATGGTTGATGGATTTACATCGGTCTAAGCTACACCTATATTAGCAGCAAGACGGTTAATATTAGCTCTGGTAGAGTCCTTAGTCCATAAATTAAATTATTACAAAACAAAAAAGCAACATTCACGGTGTGAATGGGGCAACTTCGCCTAGTGTTGTTTTAGAGGCCAAACGAGAACTTTAAACTAAGGAAAAATCCCCAGATGGCTAATTGGATCAGAGGTGGGGAATGCACGGAATTTCGGAACTTTCACTTCCGGTCTCACGACGCGTATTCAAAATAAGAGCCATTAGTGCACTCAAAGTATCCCACACATAAGTTCACTGAAACACTTGTTCGTATGCACATTTATAATATATAGGAAGGCAACAAACATTAGCCATAATTTTGTGAACCTTGCTTTAATTAACGCAAATTGTGTGCATAAATTAGCGACATCACCACTTATTTTGAAATTTTGCGTGGTAGAGGTCAAAGTTAATGAAGCTACCTTGACAGATCCACTGTAACACAAATAAATAGTTAAAAAATAAGAAATACTTGCCTGTTAAACAACTCTAACTCAGCACAAACAGTCTTCTGTCGAGGTGACTGGTGCTACTTTATCAATATTCGTTTAGTTTAGTCTCGGCTAAATCATTTTGCTCAGTTCTGTTGTCACTCGGGGCTTCAAGAGGCTAATGCTAAAGTTGGGCTAATACCCTTAGCATAGCCGGCGAAGAGACGTAAAGCAGCGTAAAGTACACCAAAAGAATCATACCTGTGCTCGCCACCTAATTCTCCATCTTAGATAGATCGATCGAAGGTCGGATAAACGTCCATCCGTGACCGTGAGCAGTTCCCACAACTAGAGACGAAGACTGTGAGCATCGGTCTCGGATGTCAGCTCCTCTCCTCTCCGTTGTTGGCAACAGGAGTAGTAGCTTGGCTGGTCCCTGCCTGCGCCCTCTGCGGGCAAATTTAAGCTATAACAACTATTCGTCATCATTATTCTATCATTGTTTTACTCACCTTTTTTAGTCTCCATTATTATCACCACCACCTTGTTTCTTCTTATTATAAATTTCACCTTCATCTTTAGTATTTCCACCAGTATCAGAACACAGTCATCTGTCTCCAGCACTGTTTTATATATTCCCAAACTGATAAATGTATGGGTTCCTTATTCTAGTGACTCACGAAAGAAGTGGAAAAACAGGACAGAACAAAAACAATTTGAAAGTTAGTTGAAAACCACACACAAAACAGAAGACTGTTATCAAATCTTTATTTACATAAATCATAGATACTGCACAGAATCCCTGGTCAATGCTTACCTTGGAATTTAATGAAACATATTGCTTATTTTACACCAATCAACAGCACTAAAATATACAGTTTGCACTACCATGTGTAATGATCTGGCAAAAAAAAAGAAAAGATTATAGCACTAAAAGAAAAATCCTACAGAGTATGTTGATGATAACCCCGGTTAATAACTTAACAGGAAAAAAAAAATGGAAAAGAGTAAACCTTTGTGCCTTTTCTACTTTAAAGTAACATTTGGTATCTTAGATAATGTGCAGGTGTTCTTCTGTCTACAGCAGTGTGCCTTTGTGCTGGAAAAGTACATAACATAAAAACAGTGAAGGAAAGTTACACTCAAAATCAACTCACAACTAAATACATCTTGTCAGAGTCTAGAAACATAGTGTGCACACAAAGCATACAGAATTTGGACAAAATTTAAATTTTACACCTTATACAGCACATTCCATGAGTCGAACATTGGTTTATTTTCCTGGAATGATTTGCCTTTCTTCGCCAACAATAGAAAGTGGAGGTAGCAATCTAATTTCAAAAACAAAAATCTGTAAGTTGACAGAATATAGTTCCACTGTTTATGAATCAATTTGGTTTGAATGTAAGTATGAAGCTGCTTCTAACTCAAAGTGTTATGTCAAAAACATTCTATCAGTTAGGTTTTTGAGGAATTATAGTTGAAACTAGACAGTAAAGCAAGACTAGAGGAGTCATATGTTTGCCCATTGGCATCTGTATTATATGATGATGATTATGTCCACTATCTCAAAACACCCCAAAATGCAAATAATTATCACATACATTCATTGTCTTTTAAATTTAAATTAAGTTAGTATAACTTTAAGGTATTCTTGATCCAAATAATAAAGCATATGTTTAGGTATTGCTTGGTTCATCTTTAGCTTAGTGTGTAATATTTTATTGACATGTTTTTTGACATTGACACTGACGGCAATTCCTGTCAAGTGCAGACATGCAGAAACCTAATGTATGTGTGAATACACTTCCAGTGCCATGTTCTCATATGGGGGTCGCAGTAAGAACAACAAATATGCACATAGACTTTAAAACAAGCACTAAAGCACAGGTCCAGACATGTCCATAACAGAAGGACCAAAGAGGTCTCAAGTGCTGAAGCTCCTGCAGTGGTGACAGGAAGTGCATTTTGCCTCTGTTACAAAAGATTTACATTTTGAGCCAAATTTACAAAATTTTAAAGTCATAAACAGCAGAGACTTGTTAATTGGTTTTAGATGTTTGAACTGAGGAGTAGCATCATCTTCCAACAGTGCTGTCCGTTTCTTATATCTAGTCTGTTTGACTCTCACGTCTCAGCACATACCATTAACACAGAGTCGTCTCGGACCAAAGCAGCCACAAAACACAACTGTTGAGTCAAAAGAGAGGAGAAAAAAGTACTTTGTATGTTCACGCCAACATGCCTGCATGTTGTAGAGGACAGAACAATTATCACGTATCAGTCTCACAATGTGTCGCCCTGTAGGAAATGGTGTGAACTGTGTAAACACTAAGGGAACTGGAATTATCCATTGGTCCTCAGCAGTAAAACACTGGCACAGGTGAGCTTCTATCTAGAAGAACAGTTCTGGAGAAGGAAAGAACTTGAGTTTGGTCAGCTGGGCTCCACAAAAATAAACCGAGAAGTAACTAAAGTAAAGTACAGCAACTGGTCCTTAATGATTTTTAAGTTATATTAATAATGATTTATACGGTAAATGGTCCAGAGGTCAAATGTCTGTTACTGACAGCAGATAGGATTTATCTATTATATCATCCTCAATGACACAACATGTCTTTGCAGTTTCCTATTGACGGTGAGCTTCTGGCGCCTTCTAGTGGCTAAAAATAAAACATCTTAGCAGATTGCTTTCATATAGGAGATCACATAATATATATTACGGTTTGCCTCCCACAGACTGTGCAACACGAAGTCAACTGAGACGGTCACACACTTCGGGAAGGTCTACATCACAACTCTGCTGTCTTTGGTCAACAACTCTTCAACAACTGTAGCATCCTTCAGTCTTTACAGTGTGATGTGGAACCACTGATAGTTGAGTATGTGCTATAGTAACTTAAGGGGGTTTTCTTGTGTCCTCTTCAGTCTGAAGAACGCTTCACACTTCAGTGGAGAAGAGAAGACTTTGACGTTTGCTGTCAGGAGTGGGAATTCTCTCCAGCTGCAGGAAGTAGAGAAGGACCTGAACCTACAGAGATGCAGAGCATATATACACATAAATATACATATACAAACACTGTGGACCACATCTCTCTGGTGGACATTTACTGTATTTATTTTATATTTCTATGAACTTGTCATTTTAGTGATGTCTTGTTTATGTTTTTATATTATTTATATTTTTTATTTTAACACATTTTAATTAATGCTTTTATTAGTTAGAAAATCTTGAATAACTCTAAGATCTCTTTTACTACAATTATTTTTTGCCAAACTATTATATTTATTGCTGTTAATGTTATTTTTATCTTTTAATTTGAAGGCAATGTCTTGTTTACAAAACGCAACATTGACATTTTACACAACCCTAAACATTTGAACCTTTTAAAGGTTAAAGTCTTTAAGTAACATTTAAACATCTCATTATAACAGTTCTATGAGGACATTTTAAAACATAAAATATTGTCATTTTGCCACCAATTCACCCAGGTCTCAGTTCCAGCTAAGTGCTGACAGTTCTTGGCCAATGCAGGTGGCTGCATTTGGCCGTCATCTATGAAATCAGAGCCAAGCACTGATTGGATGTCCTGCGTACCTGAGTCATGACCTCTAGAGACCAGCTGTCGTTCATGGAGATTGGCTGTGAGCTGTTGGAGATCTTGCTGTCCTTTTCTGAAGGGCGCAGCAGAGTAGGACCAAAAACAGTGGCCAGGTTGTGCAAAGACATCTTGTTGATGCTTTCATTTTCAGTCACCCTGTAAAAAAAGAAAAAGAATTACAGAACTGTTGAAATGAGAAGGTGTAATGCAGTGGTTGTTTTGAGCTCTTTACCTTTTCAGGTGGTCCAGCAGGAAAAGGAACGTGACCAGATTTGGCTCTGGCAGCGACAGCAGCAGGTTGAGCATACAGCTCTCTTTAGCTACACTGTCAGACAGAGCTGTGGGAAAAACAACGTCAAGAATAAGATGAAGCTACTGATGCTAACGTACAGTGGTTACGTAATGTCCGTCTAAACCAAAGGGCACCAAGCAGCGTTTGAGTACACTGAATATGGTCAAATTCCCTAAATCCTTTTCTTTGCTTGCTTATGCATCTTTACACAGGTAACACAAAAGGTTTAAAAAGTAGAAGTTAAGTCGAGTTGGCCAAATGTCAGGAAAAATAGTTAATAAAACAAATGACAAATATTAAAAAGAGCTACGATAGCTTAACTTAGACAAAAGTGAATATTTCAAATGATTACATTTCAGTGAAGCATTCGCCAACAGTTCACTTAATGAACATGTTTGTTCTAAACTCTTCAATACTGATGGGATACCAACCAATGCCTCCAGCAAAGTTGGGGTAAAGCTCATCGGTGAACAATGGCTCCGGCAGCTCACGGAAATACAGTTTGAGTGTTCCGGCGATGGCATTGACGTCCATCTCCCTCATCATGAGAGACACATCCCTGTTGTCTGAGGAGCAGAAGAGACAACACTGACTGTGAGGCAAATCCTGGTCATATGTATTGTAGTGAGATGATTTCACACGTCTACACCATTTCAACCACGTCTTATTACGTCTGTCACATGATTGTTCATCGTCTTTCTAATTTCACCTCTTTCTAATTCTGTCCATTGTCATCACTTTCACCTCCTGCTCAGCCCCCTGCTCAGCCTCCACTGTGTCCAACGCCTCCATACTGTACATCATAGCAGGTCTCACTTGCATCTTTCAAATCTACTGTACCTTCCAGCTCTTTGACTGACTTTTCAATATAACAAATTCACACAGAACTCACTGGAATCAAAGGAAGCCTTCAGAGCCTGGATGTCAGTGGCAACGCCGGACACGCGGTAGATTCCCACCTCATCCATCCCGCGTCGCTCAATCTCCTCAACACACTGTTTAACAATCAGAGGAACCTTGGAGCGCTCACGCCTGCAGCCACACAATCGACAAATCAGTGTTGCTTTTTTGACTTTGACACACATTTAAGTGACTCACTTATTATGACCAATTTATTGTTTTCATGATTTAATATATGGACACTAAATTAATAAACAAACAGGTAAAGGACTGACTTTGTCACGACATTGATTTTCACTCCAAAGACCCCGGACTGTTTTCTGGACGGCACCCTCTTCAAACTAAACTCCCTGCTGACAAACTTCATAGAGAGTTTCACCTCGATCTGAACAGAGAAGAGATGGACTTCAGCTTTACTTCGCC